CCCCCAACAAAACTTGTTTTTAATGCCATAAACCATATATCTTTGGCTTCATAACTGATTGCTCTGAAAAAAAAAGTACTGATAAAATTCATGTCTAGAAAATCATCCTCTTTCAGAGACTTTTTTCAAGACATGACACTATAACGAGGTTGTATAGCCTGATATGGTAATGGCTTTTGAAAACTAAACACTTTCTCTGTAAATATGAAAATATTACATTACACAACCATCACTTCACAAACACTAAAATTAAATTATTTCAGGGAGTAGGGTAAGCATTGTAATCCAGGAGTTGAGGCAGCATGCACGAAGTTATGGAAATTTAAATGGACACAGCTCAAACTCAGGGTCTGACTGCTGAGATAATACTACGCATTTATCATTCCGGTCTTCCCTTCTTATGTCTCTCGAGAGTTACCGATTAGTTTAATTGATAGAACTTACATAACACATCAAAATTTGATGCAATTCTGTTGAAAACTTAATTTTTGACAATTTTTTAAAGTTTGGGGGACTTGATTTACGTCACCGTGAAGTTGGTCTTATCATGAATATGATCATGCACGAGAGGGTTAAAGGCAGCTACATATAAAGTTACATAAACAGTTTTCATTAACGTGCATATTATGTGCTAAAAGAAACTCCATTCGCTTGCTTTTACTGCAATACAGCTGAGTTCTGACACTATGTTACTCAAACAGGATACAGTACCTGTAAAGAATATTTGCATGTAAAACTAAGTGATTAAAAAAGGTATGAAATGAGCTTTAACCCCATTAACTTATTTTTAACAAAATTAAACTTTTGCTTAATGGATAGTGAGGTAGAGCAAAAATTATGGGTGTTGGTGGTACAGTGGTAACAAGTGTGTATCTCACAGCTGTACCCTAGATTTAATTCCCAGGTTGGTTCAGATGTCTCCACAAACATCGCAGGTTTTCTCCAGGTAGCTACTCTAATTTCTTCCACACTAACACTGGACAATCCAGGTTGTAACAAAGAACAGACCAGTTGCTTGAATGGCTAAAAAGTTGGTAAAGAACACTATTTGGTAGAAAAGATAAACTAAAAAAAAAATGCTTGCTAATGAGCATTTGTATCACAGTATTCTAGTTAACTTAAGACCAATTAAAGGGTACAGGTATTACTGCACTATTTTAACTTGGGTAAATGAATGAGATTATCTCAAAAACAGTATAGTACCAGGTCTCAAAAAACTGTACTGTACCAGGATTTCATTGACATGTGAGCGCTTCAATTTTAACGTTTTCCTACATAACTGTAGGCATCTTGTCAGCAGTAAAGTGAGTAAAATTGGCATATGTATTTTCTTACACTATAAACACAAGCACAGGAAATGTGGGCAATGATTTACAATAGAAACAATTACTAAATTACAGTACATTAATACCCTGTACTTTAGTTAAGTTTGGCTGCTGTGACTGTGTACCCTCTTGCCAGGGTATCTCTGAACTATGGTTATTAGCATTACCATCAAAGCCTAAACTTGAACATTAACAACTGTGGAATGGTACATTCCTGCTGAGATCGTATTGAGTTCAGTGACAACTTGTTTTTATTTGCACTACATGAAATTGTTCCACAGGGCATTAAGGGAGACAAAGTTTTGCCTCTGAAAAGCCTTCTTGACTTTTTTGTATAAAAAACTTTGATTCAAAAACTTTTGACAACTGCTAAGTCAAATTAAGAGTAAATTTCTCAAGATCCATTGAACAAAGTTTATTTTTATTAATTTTTTTTGAGAACAGATATAACATCTCATCCCTAGCCATTGATCACTGTTGAGCATCTACTTTTTGTAAACCAAACCTAATCTAACTGTTGTCGATCACTGTGTTAAAGTGCTAGGAATCTAGTTTTCGTAAACAATTTTAAGCGCAGTTCATCAGTTATTACAAAGAAATAGTGTTATTTTAGGAATATTACTTATCACTTATTCTACTCAAGTATGATTAAGCTCAACTACTCAGGATAACACTCTAGAACATCTGACTCGTGATAATCAGCAATTTCAAGGAAATTCTCTCTAGAATTTAATTTCTTTCTTACCTCTAGAAAATATATATACTATATTATACCAGTACAGTATATATAAAAAAGTGGAGAAACTGCAACTTTTGTAATTTCTTTAGGCGACTGTCTTCATGCTGAATACGAATCTATGTTGATATGCTAGCTCCCAGCAACACCATGTTGACTTCTATGATTTGTCCTATGGTAAGATGAACCAACCAAACCTACCTGTCCAATGATGGAAATATATCATTTTAGGTGAGGTTTGGTAGGTTAATTTACATAAGGTTAGGTAGGTTTGGTTAGTCAGAGCATGGAAAGGTTACTGGGAAGCGTTCAGTCATTGTAAAGCGTTCATCAACAGAAGCACAAACATGGCGTCCTTACATGCACAGAACAACGGTATTTATTCTTAAGAAAACCTCAGGAAAAAACACAAGTAAAAAAGTTGAAATTCCCCCGTTTTTTTCTTCATATTCTAGAGATAAAAAAAAGTTTTCTATACAGTATAAATTTTTTTTATATAAATTGCTGTCATCACAAGTTGATGTTCCAGAGTACTATGTTGTACTGTACTGTATTACCTTTATGGGTTAATACAGTACAGTATTTGATTTAATACATGACTGGGACTTCAGGATGAAAATAAGTTCTTATAGTATAGAATTTAATTTTCCTCTATGATACAGTATTTCTGGTAATGTTTGAAACAGCACTACCATCAAAAGTAGTAGTTCGATTTTGTAAATTTTTCCCACAGATGTTCTTTGGATAATAGTAGGTAACAAGTGATCGTGGGCTCTTCGTGCCCGGTGAAAGTTTGAACGCTCATGCTTGGCTAGCGCGCAACTGCCGTCCAGCTGACAGCGTACAGCTAAAATAAAATGGTTAATTGATGCCTTCCTAATGAAACCATCGACATGGGACCAGGTTTGTTACACTCTACGAATTTTTTGCGATTTTTCCACCAAGTTTGATGAAAAACGATTGTGCCGTTTCGGCTGCCCAGAACACACACACACACACAGCTATTACTATAATATATTAGATAAAAACAAGACGACAATGCACAGAACCAAATAGAATATGACCAATCCAGCCAATGAAACCTACCTAACCTTACCTAACTTCCTAGCTGGGGATAGAGACCCTGCCATATAAAACAGAAAGTACTTATTTTGATATCAGATGCCAATGAAAGCAGCTTTGTTGAAGCGTTATGGTTTATTTTATGTCTTTTGTGAACGTAAGAGTATGCTCAGACTGAGCGGGTAGGTTGTAAGCAAACGGATGGCACGCGGTGTTTCAGCAGAGTTTTCGGAGAAGTAATACGGTAAATAATTTTCTTCACATACAAAGCATGTAGACATCAGTTTAGTGTCATATGATCAGTTTTTCACTGTGTTTTACCCGGCAATTTCCCGCATCCTTCATGCCCTGCCCATTACAGGTAATTTACGATCGTAGAAAGAGAAAACTAAAAAACATTAAAAAAAAAATACTGTACTTATAAATAAAATAAAAAGTTGTTGCCTCTTAATAAACTTACTATAATAATATCTCTGAAAAATATATTAAAATGGAGCAACTCCTGGTGGTGGTAGTGCTGTTCTCAGAAATTTCTTAAGCAAATTGATAATAATTGAGATATACGCAATATTTGGATCAATTTAAATGACTATGAAGCAACCCTCACTAACTGTGACGTGACTTTTACTTTTACTTTTATCCTCTTCGCCACTGATCGGCTTGTTAGCCGCTTGGGCGATCGGTCACGTCTCTGTCACGCACTGTTGGCAAATGCTGGGCATGCACCGGCTGCTGAATGTACCTGAACCCGCTCCAGTGTTGGTCAAGTCTTGTCTTGAAAGAGCTCACACTCGGTGCTGTCACAACACTCTCTGGTAGATTGTTCCAAGAGTTTACAACCCTCACTCCGAAAAAGTTTGCCCTCACGGTTTTCTGGACTTGTGGCTTCTTCAATCTTGAGCTGTGACCCCTTGTGGGGCGAGCGTCCGCCAGCTCCAAGTAAGGACACTCAAAACTGAGTAGTGCCCCCTGAGATGCTTATACACCTCAACTAGGTCCCACCTTGCCCGTCTGTAGTATAAGCTAGGCAAGTTCAGGCGCTCCAATCTCTCAGGGTAGCTGAGGTGCCGAAGTGCAGGCACCAGTCTGGGGGGTTGTGTGGTTTGGCAATTACATGGTACTAAGTTTGGTTAGGTGTGCATTTGTACAGGAAATAACAGAACAAAAATCATATCAGAATTAAATTCTATACTTAATTTTACTTTTATCCTCTTCACCACTGATCGGCTCATTAGCCGCTTGGGCGATCAGTCATGTCTCTGTTACGCACTGTTGGCAAGTACTAGGCTTTTTTCTTCCTGATGTCCAGGTCATGTGCTAAGCCGAATAATTACCCCCTTTTTAAAGATAATCACATCGAGCATTGGCATTTCAACAAGCAGTGACAAAAGCTGGAGGTCTTTGTGCCTCATTCACAGGTATCAGGCCAAGTGGTCATGACTCACAAGTGGTCTCTAAAACCTTGAACTATGTATGTATAGTAATATATTAATGCATGTGTCGGTAGGTCTCTGAATATTTCGTGTATATATAGTTGTGGGCACAGGAGCAGCTGTTATTTCGTCAAGCAAAAGGTTAAATACTGTATCGGCCTTCACCATGAGTCATTACCCAGTGTAAACGTGTATCAACACCTCCACTCATCAATCCCCGATACTAATCCCCATTAAGTAGATTAACACGAATCCACCAAGAGGAAGAAAAACTAATAAAGGCGAGGATGGCGAAATAAGACGCTGTCACCTATGCTGGTGTCGGATTATAATTCGTTTGCCCGAATTTCTATTCAGGAAACGTCATGACAACACGGCCTGAGCCTCAGATGACAGGAGGACGTCAACCCAGCCATCACATCTCCTCTCCTCAACTCTACTCACCCATTAGTATCCTCATTTGCTTCTTTCCAAAGAGGCGAGAGAAGACTGTCGATAATGTCAATCCCATGGTTTACCAAATGTCTCCACGTTTAGGCTTGAAACTAACAAAAATATATAGAGCGGCGTCTGTGCCACGTCCGCCTAAGTCGTGACGTCAACTTGCTGCGCACGGCATTATGGGAGCGCCAGGTGCTGGGGACTCTCACTCTCTCTCTACATTATTATCCTCACTCACTTTATTAAACTCTAGACCAATACAATCACACATAGTATCAATTCATAGAACCTTATAGTATTGCCAATAAAAGTTCATTATAATACGTGGGATATATGTTAGTACACACCCCGGTTTTAACAAAGAAGAACGATTTGCGTGTATTTATTTATTCATGAAAAAACTTTCCTCGTTTTCAATATCGATGTTGTTTTGTTATAACACCAGGAAATAATTACATAACATCTAATAGCATATATATATATCCCATGTATGTCACAAATATTAACAAATGTGTAATTTGTACAGAATTGTCTTTCAGCCATATTTAGATTATAAGCAAAAATAATGCGGACTTTTAGCACAAGTGTGAAGAAGATAAATGAAAAGGAAAAGTAATCAGAGACGTGACCGATCGCCCAAGCGGCTAACAAGCCGATCAGTGGCGAATAGGCTAAAAAAAAAATATATATCAATTTTTTTCCATTTATTTACCAATGAAGTGTCATAAACTGAAATTTAGTGTGTAAGATTTCTGGAGTTGAAGGCCATTGCCACAAAATTCTTTTAGATAATTCTGTATACTGATTTTTGGACCTTGGCATTTGTAATCAATTAAACTTAGTACAGTATCAGAGACTGGCCCAGGATATTTTTGAAGGGCGCACACTTGTACTAGGCCAAGAAGAGTGAAAACTTGACGTGTATATATATATGGTAAATTAAAATTTGTCAGTGATTTTGTTTAAACTGATACCATGTTAGGAAGAACATAATCTAATATGCGTTACTGTGAAATGTGAGTAACCAGTTGGACACAAGTTACCAGTTCAACAACCTGAAAACTTGGCCCCATGAATATAATTTTGAGACGGGGTGCTGTCCTCCAAAGTCACAGTAAATATGGGAGAGCCCTGCAACGGTCAAGTAGCAATGGAAAGGTCTGCCTGGAGTTTCTAGGGCAAAAATTGATTCGATTTTCATATTCTCCACTAATCTTACTGACTAAACGGGAGGAAACCGGAATACCCAGAGGAAAATTGGTACATACTGTAATTTCAGCAATATTTCTATGACAGTACTGTCAGTGTGGCTATCTAATACATCCATGATATGTGTTGAATTTAATCAATGTATCAAATTTATTTACAGTTAATATGCATACAGAAACGACGTCATCAGTGACTGGTTCTCGTCAAGAATATTTTCATGGTTAAAAGAATCGGAATTATGGGAAGAGAGGGAAGGCGGGGTAATTTGAGTTAAAACTACAAAAAGATCCACACACCATTAGCCTACAGGCAGCTGGGGCCACATCTCAGGTTTTCCCTAATCAAACACAAGTCATTGATACGTCACACAGCATTACTGGTTTGTGTAGGTGAGAAAAATTGACGAAATCAAGAGGGGATGAGCGTCAGGATGCGAACACCCTAAATCCACCACCGCCAGAATCAATGTTCTCTCACTTCTTAACAGGATTCAAAACCCTTTTCTTGTAATATTGTATCTAACTTTTTTGACAGAAGTAACTTTGGCAAGATTTGTAGTAAAATCGAATCCCATTCCACCCGACTAGCAATGATAGCTGGGGCCCATTCCACTCCACTAGCACTGATATTTGAAGCTAATTCCATCCCACAAGCAATGAGTAATAGGGCCCATTCTACCCCAATAGTACTGATAGTTGGAGCCAATTCCACCCCACTAACACTGACAGTTGGGACCCATCCACCCCACTACCAATGATAAATGGGGTCCATTACACCTCATTAGTATTGAGTCATCTATGACCTATGCACATGTCACCAGGGTTGTCATTTTTGAGAAGAAGCATTCATCTGATCATTTCCTGATATATCAATTGTATCATCCATCATGATACCATTAGTTAATAGAGAAAAAAAAGAGACCATGGCAATAACATCCACGTAATATCCCCTTGTGCATGTGTCGTTGGCATAGAGTACAGTAGTTAGAAATAAAAAATCAGGGTAGTATCTAAATTTCTTTCGATGATTTTTTTAAGGGGAGGAAAGGGGGGTCCATAATGATTGCTTGTGGGGGGCCCATATGTCATGGCACAAAGGCCAGTCTGACTGATAAGATTAGACACTTGATCTACATTGGGTCTTGGGAATGTCAGAGGAATATCAACTGTTAAGTCAAAGGATTTCAGCAGAGGATTTTTAGTAGATTTTGCAGATTTATTTAAGGGAAGTACTGAACCACAATAAGATTTTAAAAGGTTTCTACCACTATTTTAGGGTTAAAAAGGGAGTCTAAGTAATTTATTGAATTTTATGCTAACTATAGTATTGAACAGTATATAATCTGTTGTTAGACTTTCTAAGGCTTCCAATTATATATTTAATTGGATTTAAGTCAACAGATTAAAGTGGTTTCCATAGGCAGATTTTTCAGAGCAGATTTCATATGGTTTTCAAAGGCAAAATTTTCAGCGGGACATTTCAGGTGTACTACTTTATTTGGACATTTCATGTGTACTACTTTATTTAACTGCTAATACAGAAGTGTACTGTACTGTGTATGTATGTATGTATGCGTGAGTGTGTGTGATATTGTAAAAACAAATTTCTGCAGGTGTGTAACTAACACTGATTCCTGTAGCATCAAACTAACACTTTAGTAAAAACACACAACTAAGTACAGTACAGTATTTTACTTATATTAGCAGGGGTGGAGATTCTTAAGGTGATCCAAAAGGTTAAACATAACAAAATTTCAAATGAATATCTTGCTATTTGAAGAACTTATACTAATGCAAATACTTGAAAACTCACCTTGGCAACTAAGGGTGATTTTCATGAAGATTTTATTTACTTACCTTTAGGAGTTTTCAAGACTAAAATTATACAGACATACTCAGTGGTGATATTGATCATAGGTTGCTGTCCCTAAAACTGCAGTCACCTATCTTATCTATGCTGACCTCTTCTTGTTTATTCCCCACAGCTCACCTAACCAACCCAACCTACAAAAATGGAGATATATAATTACCAAAATAAGTCAATCTGGCCCATAAATGTCATATCGTCAGAAGTGATACAACAATAATTCAATATTTGTACCTTTTTGTGATATTCATTCAAGTCTGAGGGAATGCTGAAGTTGTGAACGTCTAACAATCTCCTTTACTGATCACCACGACTTTAGTAATTGAGAAATATAATCTGATCATTGAATTCCACTAAACACTCCATCTTGGTTGTATATACAGGTATGATGGAGGATAAGACACTGTACAAGTAAGGGTGATGGATATAAGTAACCCCAGTGTTTCTCAAGTCTTTATGGAGGTGAGGCCAAGAGGTTAGTCCAGATGGAGACCAAACAAAGCCAATTAAAAAATCAAATAAAGGAAATGATACATAAAAATAAGACAAGAGACACCTTTAAAAATCAATAAAAAAGTGTGAAAAATGGGGTATTAATTTTTTCAAAGACAATACAGTACAGCACCCAGAAAAAATTGCAATAAAGTGAGAAAGTTATAAAATTTCAGTAAAACAAACATCTCTTTAAACACAAGTCAAGACACTAACAATTTAATTTGACTTAGATTACAGGAAAATAAAAGTTAATTTCACATAAAAATTACTTTCTCTGAACAATATGAACAGCTGATCCTCTTACAGTTGGAATTAAAAAAAAACTATCCTGCCTTGGTTCAAAATTTATTCCCTCATTTTCACATTTCACAAACCACTGTAAATTTAATCAAATAACTAGAGTATCCCAAAACATAATAAATTTCTAAACATTGCTATTTACAGCTGAAACTACTGTAAACACCGGACCGACACAAAACGAATCACTTGTCTTAACACCCAAATATACTGACTCCACGCCTATTCTGACTAGTAATTGTTGACGAAACAAACGTAAATATAAGAATGATCACATAATTAAAAATTTCTTGAATATATAAACATTTAAAAAAATCACATAACAAATAACTTCAAGATAGAAGATATCTAACTTAAATATCATAGGTATATACCGTAAACAAAATATATTTATATATATATAAATGTCTACATATCAACACGTTTCAAATTCATTTTATCACAAACAAGTATACAACTGGTAATGCTAAAGGAAAAATCTTCATTGCTTAAGGGGGTGGTAGGGGGGGGGAACACTTCCAGTTCACATATCTCTAAAAACAAAACTGAAGCCAGGACAAGACCAGGTTTGTAATACTACACATACTACAGCAATCACTGGAAAATACGTCACATAAAAACTTTCTGCATAACACCACAAGTATACAAACTACAGATAATACACTCCATAATTTTATATTAATAATAAATATAATAAAACTCTACTCTTCACAAAACCAGACTTATAACCAAAATGAGATCCATAAAAATTTTTATGACAATAATCTACTTATACCATAACGTGAATCACAAGTTTCTCCATAAATAAACAATACCTCCACTAGACTTGGTGCCAACTTGGACTCCTCATACACTGTTGATATTGCCACACACACAAAAAAAACAATTTGACACATTGTTACTATTCCACCACACTGTCTATCACACCACTTGTTATTTGTGACCTGACACCTGCATTATTAGGTTCTTCCTGTAAATTCTCTTTATTATTATCTTCATCAACATTTCTTATTAGATCATCTTCCTCAATTCCCATCAGAGGATCTTCATCAGGTTCCCTCAATCTCATTTCAGTCTCCTGCAGTTGTTGCTGATCTTCCTCACCTTCCAATTTGATCTCCACCATTGGGTTGATTGAGATGTAAGGTGCATCTTCTTCCTCCTCATTTTTATTGGACTGATCTTGTGGTTCTTCTTTAACATATACTCGTTCGTCTTGATTAACAATAAATTCTTCGTAAAGTTGTTCAAACTTTACTGTGGTGCGACGCACACGCGTTGTTCGCCTTGTTGGAGCAGTTCTAGCGCCTCTTGTTCCACCTCTTCCTCGCCCTCTTCTTCCCCTTCTACGTGTTACAGTTGCAGCACCTTCACCAATCAGGTGCTTCTTCTTATGTCTCCAAAAATTGGCCCCGTCACGGAAGGCCTCCCCACATTCCTCACACTTGTAAGGGCACTCCCCAGTATGGATCCTCCTGTGGGTTGATAGGTGAGTTTTTTGTGTAAAGCATGCTTGACATTCATCACATTTAAATGGTCTTTCACCTGAGTGTTTCCTAAGATGCATGGTTAAATAACTCTTCAAAATAAAGGATGCTTCACATTGATCACATTTATAGGGTCGCTCCCCAGTATGTTTTCTGCGATGGGTTGTAAGGTTTGAGCTATACAAAAATGATGCCCCACAGTCTTCACATACAAATGGTCTTTCACCAGTGTGTTTTCTCATGTGGACAGTTAAACTGGAAAGGTGTGTAAAAACCATTTCACATTCAGTACACTTGTATACTTGTTCACCTGCAGCTTCTGCTAATGCTTCAATCTTAATTGTACTACCACCTGCATGCTTTGTCTTGTGGGCCAAAAGGTAATCCTTCTTGGTGAAAGATGCATTACATTCATCACAGGTGTGTGGCTTAATACCTGAATGTGATCTTTTGTGTAGGTTTAGGTGGGGCCTCTGGGAAAATGTTGCTCCACAAGCATCACAAGCATATGGCCTTTCGCCAGTATGAGTTCGTTTGTGTATAGTCAAGCTGCTACTATGGCGAAATGCAGCTTCACATGAATCACACTTATAAGGTTTGTCACCAGTATGAATACGTATGTGTGCTTTCATAGCAGATTTCTGGGCAAAGGCAAAATCACAGTGATCACATTTGTACGGCCTTTCACCACTATGAGTACGTCTATGAAATTTTAGGGCAGTGCGGGTTTTAAATGCAGACTCACAAGATTCACAATTATATGGACGTTCACCAGTATGAGTACGCATGTGAATGTCTAGATAGGCTCTCCTGATGAACGATGAACCACACACATCACACACGTAAGGTTTCTCTCCCGTGTGAGTTCTCCGATGAAGGTAATAATCAGATTTTCTTTTAAATTTCATCTGACAAAATTCACATCCAGTAACTTCTATACCATCTTCAATAAGTTTGTGTGGTTTCGGTTTACCCTCGTCCGAGTAAGGTACATAATTTGGATCATTGTGCTTTTTTACATGTTTATCTAACCTTACAGGATCTTTGAACGCTGCACCACAGTCCTCGCACTTGTATTCTCCCTCTGAATGCATCAGTTTATGCCTAAGGAAAGTAGATTTATAAGCAAATGACATTCCACATTCTTCACAGCTATAAGGTCTTTCGCCAGTGTGAGTTCTCGTATGCCTCGATAATCCATCACTAGCAGCAAAAGTAGCATCACATTCTGTACACTTAAATGGTCTTTCACCTGTATGTCTTCTCCTATGGCGCTCTAAATGTTCACTACGGAAAAATGCCCGTTCACAAAATTCACATTTGAATGGTCTGTGTCCACTGTGTATTAATTTGTGTGACTGATATGATGCACAGTATGAAAAAGTTTTGCCACAATCCTCACATTCATATGGTCTTTCTCCTGTATGGATTCTCTTGTGTACTTTAAGATTTCCTTTGGTGGTGAACGTAGCATCGCAATCTTCACAGTGAAAGGGTTTCACTGGCCCCGCAATATTATTAACGTTGTTGAATACTCCATGTGCAACGTCAGTGAATTCTATATAAGGATCGGGATAATCAGTAGACGAAGCTTCAGAGTCAAAGTCATCGTCATCAATCTCCTGACAAGTTACAGATTTCTCATCAATATCTTTGTATTCTTCTTGACCATTTGTCTCTTTTTCAGTGTTATCCTTATTTTCTGTATCAGGCTGTTGGTAATTTTTATTGTCCATATTAAGAGGTTCTTTCTGACCAAGATTTGTAATTACATCATCTTTTTGTTTCAAATGTTGTCCAAGTGCATGGGACAGTAGTCCTAAAGATGTATTTGGACTACTGACTGTTGGGTATCTTAAATTTCCTTGGTTAACCTGCTCTGTGTTCTGCCCAGAAGAATTTAGCTGTGCTTTCACCTCATTCATATTTTGTCGCATGTCACTGACTGGGTGAGCATTATTTCCTAAACTGAGTCTTGGGTCAGGAAGTAGATGCCTATGGTCCTGGATAGAATGCCTTGTAGAGAGATCCTCACCATTAGTTGTTGGCTTGCTAGCTCCTATACTAACTCTATTATCATAATAATGTTGTGTTCCTGATGATTTTAAGAGATTACTTGTATCAAACTGATGTGAAGGAATCCTATTTTCATTTGTACTCATTCTTGAAGTATCATATGTGGACTTGGTTTCTTCAATGGATCTTGTGTCATTTATTGGAGGTCTTGGATCTCCAGAGGGAAGTTGTGGCTCCTCAATAGGATGAGTGATCGTGGCAGGACGAGTATCATAAGTTCTTAAGTCTCCTGGGTATCTATAGTCATCCGTGGTTCTATTCATCATATGTCTGGGATCTTCTTGGAGTCGAGACACATCTGCAAGGATTCTCTCCTCACTGGATATATGTCTAGGATCACCCATATGTCTCGCTTCACTAAGTGGTGGCCGTGTATCACCAGCTAGTTGTCGTACATCACTAAATAATCGAGCATCAATTGGTTGTGTTCGCAAATCCGTTGGCTGTGATGAGTAGTCCGTGATGTGCCTCAAGTCTGAGGAGGAAGAACGTGGATGACTTGACAATGACCTAAGATCACCTAAATACCGCTGCTCAGCAGATATTGGTCGCATGTCAACCGGATGGTGTCTTACATCTGCCAAATTCCTGGAATCTGTGGGTATACTGCGTAGATCCTCTGCTGCATGTTGAGTGTTGATCGAGTGTCTTTCTAGATTACTCAAATGAGCTATTCTACCCTCCCCTAATGAAAGCCTTCCATCCCCCATTTGCTCTCTCATATTAGTCATTGGTGGACGGATACTGTGGACTCCACCACTATAAGGTGAGAGGTTATTCTGAGATACTGCGAGACCTTGAGATGCCTGGGTTATGGGGTGGGAAGATGGTGGTGGCATACTATGTGATGAGGAAGGAATGTTTGTATGAGCTGATGAAGGATGTGGTGCTGGATAAGGATAAGGGTATGGGTAAGGATACTGCCCATAGGGATAGTTGTAAGGATACAGATGTCCCCGATTTTCCATGTTTGGATCAAGTGAAAACAGGGAATGCATTATTTCTTGTGGTGTCTGATCCATGTTACTCTAAAAAAAAATCATGTGGATGATTGGATTTTGATCAATTATCTTTTCAACAATATGGTTCCCTCATAAAACATGATGTGCCGAAGATTGTTTCATCCTTTCAATTTAGAATTCTTGAGATTTGAAATTCTGGAAGAGAAGAACATAGCTGTTAATGGTATATAACTACAGACAAGAAGATCCTTACACTGTACAACTACAAAATATTACTTCTTTAATATTTTGAATTATGGAGAAAAAGAATTCATAGGGAATTAAGGATTAAATCAATACTATCTTTATAACATCTATTAAAATTATCCTATACCACAAAAAACTCGACATAAAAACTGTAAGAATATAAGTTGTAGAGTACTCATGAAATTTCAGAAAGGTAGATAATTGTATTTATTGTAGTGGCAGGTGCAGATCCAGGATTATCAAAAGGTGGGAGAGCTCAAGAATTTGTGGCTGGGGGAACAGGGTGAGCACAGAGAGCCCACCCAGCTGAGGCTTTTTGGGGGGAGGGGGCGCTGTAACCCCCCCCCCCCCGGATCTGCCCGAGTGGTTAGGCTTTAAATTTGGTGAACTTACTCATCTATATACAGGACATTTGTATCAAGGAGGCATTTTCATACACCTAAAGTTGGTAGTTGACAGTAAAAGATAGTCTTCATCATCTTGTTATTTACCATATTGAAGCTTTAAGTTTGACTGTTCTGTATGCACCATTTTCTGCCATCTTTAATTATATGATACAAGTACAGTTACCATTCATCATAACTAAATACATACATATTGGAAGCATAATGTATTGTCTAATGGTAGACCCTGCTGCCACATGGCATCATGAAAATTGTGACCAAGTCCCAGGTTGCTGATCTGACTTTCTGCCTCATTTACACACAATTGCAGGGTCTCAATTGTTTCTCTTACTATTGACAACACAACATACATACATACTGTATATTGTTTCTCACATTTGATCTTTTTTTTCATTTTTGTATTTCTTTATGGTTCTTTAATATTATTATTGTTGTTATTGTTATTATTATTATCATTATTATTATTATTACATTTTCACCCCCCAGGCCCTGATGTGGGTCAGTGACCTGTGCCCAGGTGGGTTAATCCCCGAAAAAAAAAAAAATATATATATTTTTTATGCAAGTACCATGACTGAAATATTGATTCATCTGAAGATTCACTCCCCGGCTTATTTTATCTGAAAATTAAGCACCCCAATGCTACCTAGGTGTTAGGTTTGGTTAGATTAAGTTACATTAGATTAGATCAAATTAGGTTAGGTTAGTTAAGTTAAGATAGATTGGGTTAGGTTAAGATAGATTAGGTTAGGTTGTAGTTTGGGTTTCCAATCAACAAGCGAAATTAGCTGGGAATCTAATCTTCATATGATCCACAAATACAGGTACCATTGCAAATAAAATATATCCAATTTCTATAGGATATAAACTTCAAGAAATATGGAGTAGACACTGAGCCTATGGTTTGAATATCTGCACAAATAAAAAACTATATAAACTGTATTAAGCTTTAAGAAAAAAAAGTGCTTCAAATTATACTAAACAAAACCAATTTAGAAGTGCTAGAGCAAAGAAGTTTCACCCTCACTTTAAAAAAAATTATTTATTACAGTAAATGAAATTAAAAATATGGAATTAGGAATTTTATTTAAACAAAAGTAATATTTGTACAATGTTTTTTTTCATCTGCCAATAAATAAAATAAATTATAAATTAAAGTGTTACCGGTAAGTACTGAACTGTATAATGTTCTCCCACTGTATGCATTTAATTTTGAAGTCACTCATACTAAATTATCATTTTCTCTTAAGCCCCCAAAAATGTACACTTGCAAGACTTATATATACTGTACTGTGCTATACAGTACTGTATACTGAATAATAAATGAAGAACTAAAAACTTACTGGACAGTGGCAAGTATAGAGCAGTTCATTGATGCTGTTCCATTGTAGCAAAATTGGGGACTGCTCTTGACAATCTGGAAAACAACATAAGTATAAATTTATGGGATATAAGTGAGTGAGTGAGTGTGTGTGTGTGTGTGTGTGTTGAAATTCATAAAGTACAAATGACAAAGACAAAATTATCCTATTAGAAATCCAAGAGGATGTCTAAATCACAATCAAATAATACTACCTTGACTTGTACAAAAATACTGAAGTACTTCTCTGATTGGTTTAAGGATCTGTAAGACCAGTATTTGCAATATATTGCATTGTATACCAGTAGGCCTATCCAACACCAAACATCTTGATAGTCTAATAAGCCAACACTCACCTACTGATGAGTTTCTCAGTCTAAATTTTTGTCAGTACTGTATATAAATCTCAATACTTTAAATCCTAAGTTAAGATCATTGGGCTGGAGGAGTCTGCATGTGTTAATGTTTGGGGAACAATGTTTTTGACAGATACTGGCCCTACTGGGCACTGAAAAAGTATATTAATTTCAACTAAAAAAATCTACAAATTGCTTTAACAGTCTGACAACTTATAGGGATAAGTGTTAAGGTTATGATTTCAGTGACAAACTGTACTAAGTCCATGGTCAATAGTGGTTATATATACAGTACAGTACTGTACATACAGTAAATAGTATATACAGACAAATATACACTGTATTTTATGCCTTTATTTCTATTAGACAAAAAACGGGTAAATCACTGTGTAAATACATATTAATTTCAACTAATTTCCATAAATGAAAAACAAATCCTTGGTCAGACAACAGTTTTCTCATATTTTAACTCAACACTTCAACATATCTTGACACTGACAACACACTCCACTGATAAGACATGTCGTGATTCGCTCAAGTATAGAAGAAACACATAACACAATGTCGTTTCCATACGTTTTCGAGATAAAAAAATTAAATTTTCTCGCCACACACGGCACAAAATATAAGAGGAGGACCTCCCCTTTATGGCTGGAGTATCGGTGACAACCATCAACACACCCCCACCGTCACTCCCCGACCCCACCACTTCACGCACATTTCATCAAACCACTCGATAAATTATGCATAATTGCCAAAAAAGTACTCCACCAAGACGAATCCGAACGATATTGATTACCTCCGTCTGCAAGAGCGGGGAATAATAAACAAAATGGCCGTGGACAAACCAACTCAACCGTATCACTGCCTCCCTGCCTCCTTATAACACCTAACACACTATGGACGTGGTCTAGAAACGTTCACATGACCTTCTAGGGGTCGCGGGGGGAGTGGCAAGACCCCTAGACTAAGCAAAGGGTGATAAACAAGGGAACAAAACAACACTCCATTACCAGCTTCCCCCACTACTGTCAGAGCGTCTACACCACCAGGCCTGCCAACCCTCTCGCTCACCCCCCTTACTACCCCCTTACCCCTTCCCTCCACTCTGCCTCTCGCTCACCCTCTTAACTACCCCCTTACCCCTTCCCTCCACTCTGCTTTTTTTTTTGCATAAAAATACATGACTTCCCTGAAATATAATAATTTTAAAACCCACCTCTACCCTACTCTGCTTCTTATATTTGTGTAAACATCTAAGAATATCTATATAAACAATAATAATAAACCTATTTCGACGCGACTCTTGTTTTTTTTACGTAAAACCTCACTACAAAAACAATACGAATTAATAACCATTCTGCACTGAGCGTCCCTCACCCAGTCACTCTGCTTGTCAGTTTTACCCAATAACCCTAGTATCTGCTGCATGAAAACAATAAATACTAGATACCTCCTCTACTCTACTCATCACGCAATATTAAATTTACCCAATGCTCAGCATTAGTGAATTTTCCTACAAACAATGTTAATGATGCCGACTTTCACTCTTCTTGTTATTTTGTCATAAAAGCCTAAGTACCTGCATAATTTGAGACAATACTTACTGAGCAAATCCCTACACCTCTGTGCATGCGATTAAAAAAACCAAAACATAAATAATACAATTAAAGCCAACTTTTATATTAAGTTCTACCAGCACATTCAGAAATTACTCTTCGTAAGAAAAACATGCATTACTAATACTGTAATAATTTCAAGGACAATTCTTGCAGAAAAAATAGATAAAATCAGTAAAAATACCTACTATCGCTTTATCTCTTCTTTCGCCTTTAAATATCTCATTAAATAAAATATGTAAGCAAAAATAAATACCAATTATGCCTTTTCCTCTTTACGCTGCCTGTAATTATTTTTAAGATAACTCACAATTTCTTCGTACCAATAAAAAAAAACCGCAGAGGAAGCATTTATACAATTTCAGGGGAGAGAGAGATAGTGGGTGAAATTCTTATTCTTTGCACTTAAAAACTGCTAGGGTGCAAGGATCCACAAACAGCAGGGACCATCAACACCCACACAAACACCTACATATGTTCACAAATAGTCTGGAGTAGTCTTAGCGTGGAAAATATCGCCACAGCACTCCTTGGCGCCAAACCTATATATCCATACACATTAATTCGGGCGAGTTGCTATGTTAGTGTGTTAATATCCGCTTGGTAACATGATGTTAGAATATACAGTAGAAATAAAGAAATTGAAGCTTCGCTGTTATATAAATTGTCATACAGACTGTAGCTATAGGAACTAGGGGCGTCATACGAGTACATCGAATTCTAGATATAGCATAGCACTGACCCACACTGTGTTCACAGAAGAGGTGCATCCCAGACTGCTAAGAGAGTTGTACAAAGAGCTTGCCAAGCCCCTGAAGATCCTGTTCTGTAAATGTCTGGATGAACAAAAGGTCCCCAGTGATTGGAAAATTGCTTATGTGAGTCCTATCTTCAAGAAGGGCGATCGTCACTCCACGAACAACTGTAGACCGGTGAGCCTGACCAGCATAATATGTGAAGAACTTGAGAGTATTATCAGAGATGCCGCAATGGAACATCTACTACGAAACAACCTTGTAAGGGATTGCCAATACGGTTTTATGCTGGGGCGCTCCTGCTTAACACAATTGCTCAAGGTATTGGATATTTGGACCCATATTCTGGAACCGGGTGGTAATATCGACAATATATCCCTTGATTTTGCCAAGGCTCACACCGAGTGTGAGCTCTTTCAAGACCAGACTTGACCAACACTGGAGCAGGTTCAGGTACATTCAGGAGCCGGTGCATGCCTAGTACTTGCCAACAGTGCGTAACAGAGACGTGACCGATCGCCCAAGAGGCTAACGAGCCGATCAGTGATGAGGAGGATAAAAGTATATTCATAAGACCAATGACCAAGTACTGTACACAAAACTGTCAGAAGTTTGAGTAGTCACAAGTTTAGGCTTTTACACAAATAAGAAGGAATGTTTTTTTTTCGTTTCAAAAACTCCTTGATATACTGTAGTTGCCATTTACCTCACCGCGTTAACAGCGAGACGAAAATTTAAGTTTCCCCTTTAACTGTCTGGGTTTTCTCTGGTCCGTAAACGATGACGTCTGAAGTTCGGAGATAGACGAAACAATTTCCCGGGTGACTGCAGATATGGGACCTTGTAGCCGTCTTCGTACAAATGTGCCCCAGATAATTACTTTTGTCCCTTAATTTGAAAATATTTTCCTCCAGAGCTTACCGACTGAGTATGTACAAGTGTAGGTGAATAATACCAGGAGCTGTTCACCTCTGCCAAAAAGTGGTGTCCCATTACACACAACGTACAATATACTTGGACCTGTCCCTAAAACATTATATTTTCACACAGTCGAAGGTACAGTATTGTTTAGTTCGTTACTGAACAGTTTAAAATACCCATTGTCTTGAGGTTACCAAGACAACAAAGACAGTTGGTATTGAAGCTACAGTTCGGCCTACAGGAACTATTATGTAGAACAAACCACATCGTTTAAAGCATAATTTTTGGTAATAGTTTAATAAACCTGTCTGCCGCCAGTATACAGTACAGAGGTACGGTATATACCCTATGTATATGTAAGCTTGCTATGTAGTGTGACGCTCTGTGGACCAATCCCTTAGCTATGATAAACAAGCCCAGTAAATGTAACACGGCATCTTAATAATCATCTGAACCTTTACTGCACTTGCCTTAAGTTTTTTTGATTGATTTGGTTTGTTTACTGGCCATTAACGCCTGCGTCACCACGACAGAAAGATTTATCTTCTGTAAAAATAGCTACCTTTCCGCAGATACAGTACTTACTAGCTACTGTGTAACCACTATCTTTAATCTACGGATCTACTCTTATGGGAATTTTAATATATATATATATATATATATATATATATATATATATATATATATATATATATATATATATATATATATATATATATATATATATATATATATATATATATTCTACTCTCTAAGATTAGTGACTTGCTATTGTTTAATATTAGTGTTGTATTGACATATTCTCAAGACACGATTGTTTTCAGTTTTCGTCCTTTGTTACAACACTAGGTAAGAAGACAGGGTGCGTAGAATCAAACTACGGACATGGAAAAAAATAGAATTGATAATCTCTACCATTTACCAGCTTACATACCTTATCTTTACCTATCCCAAATGGATACAGCTTTAAGACTGATAATTTTTCGTGGTACAGTGTATATAGTACTTGGAAGTCGGTGGAGTTTTATAAACTATCTTGGCGATTTATACCACGACTGTTCTGATCTTGTTGGGTCGTCAGTAATGTACAGCCTAGTACCAATTTCACAAGGGATCCGTGTATCACATTGGGCTGCAAAGTAACAAATAGGTCATCACATAACAAAAGTAATTCTTGGGATGTTTACTAATAGGGACTGATATCTAAATACTACCACTAATAACGCCTATAATTTGTTGTTTACATTGCAATAACAGAAAATGGAAATACTTAGAGATGGAGCCTGTCCGATTTACTATACCGATTACAGTAACATGAAAAAATCTGGACCTGCCCTACCCTAACCAACATCTTTGTTTACACAGAACATAAATCGGGGGAGTCAACCATCTAGGCTAGAGGGATCCCATTGAAAGGTAACACTTGCTTAAAATAATTTATTTGTCAAGAAATACTTACAAGGGGTCGAAGAAAACAATCCTGACGGGAAACACATACATGAAGAGGAGGCAGCAGCAGCAGCCTGTATAGCGGGTGGTGGTAGTGAGGGAGCTGCTTAGGGGTGTGGGAGACCAGGGAGAGGAGGAGGAGGAGGAGGGAGAAGAGGAGGAGGAGGACGAGGAGGAAGAGGAAGGTGATGTCAAGTGAGGTCTGGGACACGGATATTAAGACTGCCAGGGACCAAGACCTGTCACAGTAAAGGAGAAAAATGTAGGGAATGTTAAGGGGAAGAACGGTGATGCTGGTGAAGGGGGGTGGGTAGTAGTAGTGGTGGTGGTGGTGGTGATTGTGGTGGTTGGGATAGGGGTGTAATGGTCGTAGGTAGTGATGTGACGGTGAAGTGGTGGTGGGGGTGTAATGGTTGTGTTGGTATAGGATGGAGGTAGTGGTGTGATAGCGTTGGTGAGGGTAGTGGCGATGAGGGTAGTGGTAGTGATGAGATGGTGATAATGGTGAGGTAATAATGATGGTGTAGTGGTGGTAGGGTAGTAATAGTCACGGTGGTAGGAGAGTGGTGATGGGTAAACTAGCAGAGGGAGGTCAGTGGTGAGCTCCTTCGTCTGGGCGGAGAGGGTCACAAAGAGTGCTAGGAGGTTAGGTCACCGTCAGGTCACCCTCTCCTCAATATTGACCCCCAAAGTTTTTATTTTCTCTAAACTCCACCAACTTAGATAAAAATCAAAGTTCTTCTACTGTCCTGACAAAGTAAAATAGTTACTTTTATTTTATTTTTCTACTTTCCAGAGAGGGGCTTGGATGAAGAGTACACATTCTATATATACATACACAATTTGCTTACAAACTCATTAAAATAAATACAGTATACAGGATTGCAATTTAAACCAATACCCACAAGCATCACACCAGATCATACAAAATAACGGACTTTGTCGTCATATCAAGTTCAACACTCATCAGGTCCTGAACCACTGGCTACTGTCTCATGATAATTGTTATCTTCTTCACTTATTACAGGTTAAGTCCAGACTCTTCCACAATTTACAGAATCTTTCCATAACTCCGTTCATCCGCATCCTGATTATAAACAAAAATATTGTCTGAATTAAACCAAGAACACCTGAACTAGATGCGTTGTTTTTTCATCATCCACAGTTGGAGGGAAAAATTAACGTACGATTTCTCTTTTATAAAATGCGGGTGTACTGTTACCTGTACGATGCTATGAGAGTACACACTGAGGGTAAATTCCTCCCCCCAAATAATAACACGTAGGAGATTCGTCACCCTGTCTCCTCTCAAAATTTGACTTGGTATCCTTACAAAACTTAACACTACAGTATGCCCTCACAAAGTCGACCAAATACAATATTCTCATAAGGAACGACCGGTAGCCTCGCAAAACATAATGTCGCGTCCTCACAAAAACTTGGCCCGGTATCCTCACAAGAGAGTGACCCCCGCACACCTACACCTAACTTGTACTCAGTGGCCCATCCTCACCATACATAATCCGGTGTACTTATATTGATAGATTTCTTTTTATAAACTTCTCTCTTATTGTCAGCATATTTATTTTGGTGACAGAATCATTCATACCTTTTGAAAAACAGTCTAAAACATTTTTTTAATCGTCAAGCGATATAACAACACCTATAACATGCAAATACATACATACTGTACAGTAATAAAGTGTCGCCACCTTAGAATACGTCGATACCTATACGCTGTATTGACAAATTCCCTTGATGGTGGGGCTCTCAGTCCACTGAGAAAGTTACACATCCTAGAAATGAATAATATGTACTCCAACAGTCAGCATATGATTGCATCCCTGACCTATGTACGTAATGACTTACAACTACAAACGTTTCCTCTGGCAGGTCAAAGTTGCAACAAACATGACGAAAAAAATATAAAGCCGAACATGATGGCGTACATACAGACATTTTGGATACATAACATCCTCGAGGGACTGAAAATATGAACAATAAAGGGACTTTGTAAACACCCTACACAACAATATATATATATATATATATATATATATATATATATATATATATATATATATATATATATATATAACTAACTTGAAGGGGTGTGGATAAACACATAGTCTTATCCAAGCTTTAAAAAGGAGATTTCGCGATATGAATGGCAAGGTACATCGATCAGTAATGTTTGTTCACTTGTTACAGCTTCACCAATCAGGCGAAGACAAATGACAAACTGCACGTCTTATCTCAAACAACAACAAGAAGTAACTCTATTATATGAATTGTTAAAAATATTTGGAGAAGAATAACAATTAAGAATGAAATTAAATTATTAAAAAATACAATCGAGAATAAGAACAAAAAAAGAAGGAATATGGAAAAAAAAATGTTGATGTGAAATGGATAATGAAGAAATGAAGGAAGTCGATTAACCAGGGAAACGACCTCAACTTTAATTATCAAAGCGTGAGAAGCAAGACAAGCAATGGTGAGGTCCATACGGCAATATTTCCTCCGGGTTGATGGAAGCGACAGCGTCATAACTTACAACATAACAATGACAGATCCACGTGAGTCACCCCACTTGAAATGCTAAAGAAGACTGAACGATCTGAACCATGAGGAAGAGCTTCGGATAATGACAATATTTATGTTTTAGGATGTGTATATTGGACACAAATATGAACTGCAGTTAATGTTTATTTAATACTGTTTTTTTATATTTCTATAATTAAACTATACATCGAATAATTTTTTTAATTGAGAATCTTCCTGTTGGTTTAGTTCATTTAATTATTTTTCGTGTTTCAGCAAGACTGTACTTAAAATGTTCGTGTGTCAGGTAAGTAAATTGGTCAACGAAGGGGAAGAACGATATATGAGAGACGAATTTCAGATACACCAACATGGCCTACGAGTGAAGAAAAGAAAAGAGCATAGCATTGGATATAGTAAACAATAATAAATAAATACAAATTAAAACAACCCTGAAGTGACTCCAGAAGTAATGGTAAATGACTTCAAATCGTTAACTGTACTATCACATAACTGTACTAATATGCTGATTAAAAACATTACAGTACACAAGTTGTTAACAGTGGGAAGGAAAGTAAAGTGTGGGATCGAATGCCCTTTGTCGAGTCACTAACACACACACTGGCATTATATACACAAAAAGTTCTAACATTCTAAGCACCGATATACATGTGATGGTGACATTCATGTTTATTAAAGAATTCAATTTTAAGACTTGTAATGTGTACAGAAGAATGCCTCAAGTCGGCTTCCATCCACACAATAACAACTATTATTTTGTTTATGGATGTTGGATGTTCGGTTGTTTTGTTGTTGTTATTAAAGTTAAGTATTTATTCTTGGGAAAATCACCGGGTGTGGCTTTGGACGTAAGTGAAGTGAAGAAGAAAGACGAATTCAAGAAGAGACAAGTGAAACTAACTTAAAATGGATGTGATGACTTAGATGAAATGGGAGCCAGATAAGAGTGAAAAAACAACAACAACAACAAGTGGTGAGAACAGATCTTGGTGAATATATGTACCTTAAAGGAGAGAGAGAGAGAGAGAGAGAGAGAGTACGGTAAGATATCTTAGGGTATAATTTAATGGAAAATTTTTTCTTGGTGAGATGGTCGTTGGCCAGTAAAACAAAATGGAAACAGCAGAAATTGACAGGAAAATATAATAGCGACAACATCTTTCTTTTTAGAAGTATGTGATGTTAACAAGAAAATAGCCTGTATGTGTGTGTGTGTGTGTGTGTGAGGTTACAAAAGCTCCATATAATCAAGATTTCAATGCTAACATTACCAAAATACCAAATCAGTGTAGCCTTTACCAATCATCTCCTAGTCTCTGAATCTTTTCCAATCACATACCTCCTGGTTTCTGAATCTTGACCAATCACTTTCTAGCTTCTGAATCTTGACCAATCACCTTCTAGCTTGTGAATCTTCGTCAATCATATACTTCCTGGTTTCTGAATCTTGACCAATCACCACCTAGCTTCTGAATCTTGACCAATCACCTAGCTTCTGAATCTTCGCCAATCATAATCTTGACCAATCACCATACAGCTTCTGAATCTTGACCAATCACCATACAGCTTCTGAATCTTGACCACTCACCATACAGCTTCTGTATCTTCGCCAATCAACCACTAGCTTTTATAGTTCTTTTCCTTTCTGGTGTAATCGCAAATCAGCTTGTAAGTCTAAATGACCCACCAATCACTAATTAGCAACGCTCCCTCCACCAACCAGACAGCTATTAACTCTGTGTATTCCACCAATCAACAGGTAGTTCTATACAGTCTACTAATCAGCAGGTAGTTCTGTACAGTCCACTAATCATATGTTCCCGTTGCTTTCTGATCTACTTCTAGTAATCAACTGAAAAAAATATCAGTCATTGTCCGTGTATTAAACAGTGAGTTGCGTCCGTAAATGATAATATCACTTCATTAACAACGACCTTCTAAAACTATACAAAACATCAACAATAGGTTAGAGCCAGGGATTTGTGGTGGGTAAGTGTGGAGCTGCCAGCCGCACATGAACTTAGGTGAGGTAGCGGGCGCAGGGAATGTCACACAGATTAGCAAAGGAGGGTCGAGAGTTTCCAATAAAACAATAGTAGATGAAATTATCCATGAAAATAATCATAAGTGAATTGAACCCACAGGGCATCCTTAGCTTCAGTAAAAGGCAGCTATGTGGTACAGCACGGGCCTCTGAGTGTTCCCAAAACAAAACTGGATTGTCTCAACAAGGTGGGATATAAATTACAGTTCGAGGCGAGAAAATATCATCGGGACGCAGCAAACGACGCAAAGATTTTCCTTCATAAGAAATGTCGTTTACAAAAAGACAAATTTTAATAGCCTGAACCCGTCTAAAACTATTGTCATCTTACGAGATACAAAGTTCACTTCTAGAAATAATTCTTCAGTCTCCTGTACCTTAACGGTTTGTTCAACCAGGCACTACAAAATATTGCCTCCGCTTTCCTATTAACGGAAAAAAGTAAGCGCCAGGAGGCGCAATTTTTTCTCGCCAGCTTCGAAAGTTCCGTAAAAGTCTCTCAACCTTTTCACGAGTCAGAGGAGAGGAACCAAAACAAGTCAGGACTAACAACTCCCAGTTTGTGTCACTTGTCTACACCACCAAACAACAAGTGGAGGTGAGAAAAACACCAACGTCACAAAAGGATATATAACTGTCAACAGTCGCTACTACTAATTTTTCCGTTGTCTCAGATTCGCTGCGTCGAATGTCGCTTCACGCCGATTGGCTGACGGCAAGGGTGAAGAGTTCTTACTCGGCCCACAGTGCAACGGCGAGTTCTGATTGGCGGTAGATGGGTTCTGGTTGGCAGTAGAAGCGTTCTGGTTGATTGTAGATGTGCTGAGGTTGACTACTGGGGAGGGTGGCGGTGGAACATAGCTGGGAAGCATCCAAGGGTGGGAATCATCTGTGACGTCAGAACGTGACGTCACGTCCGGCAATCAGCTAAGCGGATTTTTGCCAGAGTAGTTGTAAACATCAGAGCCGAAGAGGTTGTTGCTAGCGTCGCCCACCTCAGACTCGGAGGCTTTCTTTCTCACAGGCTTGGACGACCCCTTACACTTGAAGACGAAGCGCAGTTCCTTGTTCAACACGTCCATCATAGGTTCCTGGAGAGGGAAACAAGGAATAAGTCATGGAAAAAAAATCCCTCCGGTTTTAAGGAGGAGTTTGATAAAATGGTCCCCAGTTCGAAAAGACCCTAACTCAATTTAATCCAGCCACTGGGATTGGCCAGTTCTAATGGCCTTACAATCCTAAGTAGTGAAAATCCCAATGGGCTTAAACCCTTTTGTTGAGATAAGGCTGGGTTAAGTTAAGTTAGTGAACGTATGTATACAAGCCATCAAGGTCCTGTGATGGAAGATGAGATATTAAGAGAACTATGAATATACACAGATTCAACAGCCAGTATAACGAAGGATAAATAAAATCTCTTTTCCACGGACTCAACACTGACTAATTATATCAAGTTACACTGCCTTAAATGGTGGTATTTTTGGCCGGTGGAATTTACAGTCGGTATGATTTTGTCCAGTGGTATTCTGTCCAATGAGAGATTATATATTGCAATAATTTCTCAAATGGGATTTAGTCTGATGGGATTTTGTCTGACAGGAGATTTAGTCCAAGCCTCACCTCGTCCTCCTTGGCGATACCCCAACACTCGAGGACGAACTCTCCCATGGCGACAATGAGGGCGAGTCCCATCCCGCCCAACAGCACCACGAACACACCGCCCACGTTAGACAAGTTCAGCTCACTCGCCATGCTGCTACCTCCAGCCTCCTCCTGCAGGCAACCAGGTCATATTGGGTCTCTTGGGTCACAATGGGTCATGTGGTATAATGAAAGATGACGTATATGAAGGTCACACTGACTAGGTATAAGGTCATGGTGGGTTATATAATATGTCATGTCAGGTCACAGTGGGTTGGGTTAGGTCATACTGGGTTGGGCCTTACACCTTACAAAATTTTTGACGAAAATATACTTTTTTCTCAGAATTAAAATTTAAGGGGTTTAACTAATTAAGTACTTTCAGAGTAACACACAAACCCTAAATCACACCTTGGAAACCCATAGTTGATGAGAAATTAGCATTGAAAAATGTCAGTAAAATGTTTCAAGGGTCATTTTGGCCACTAATTACTCTGCAATCGAATCGTGGACCACATATTCATAAGCAGCAAGCTCAGGAGTACCCATACTGTGATTTTCAGCAAAATCTAATTTTTGGCCCAAAACCACCAAAAATGTAAGTCTTACACCTTACAAAATTTTTGACCAAAATATACTTTTTCCTCAGAATTGAAATTTAAGGGGTTTAACTAATTAAGTACTTTTAGAGTAACACACAAACCATAAATCACACCTTGGAAACCCATAGTTGATGAGTAATTAGCTCAGGAGTACCCATAATGTGATTTTCAGCAAAATCTAATTTTTGGCTCAAAATCACCAAAAATATAAGTCTTACAGTTAGGTCACACTGGGTTGGGTTAGGTTAGGACATACTGGGTTATGTTATGTCATACTGGATCAGGTCAGGTCATATTGGATTAGGCTAAGTCACACTGCACTAATGACACTCGTAAGATATGCGTGGGAATCAAGGTAAAAATAAGGCAGTTATACAGAAGGAAAATAGGATAACTATTAGAGAAAACAAAAGACGATTAGGGTATTAAATGGTACATGGATGTTTATGGCTCGGGGGAGGAGAAGGGAGATGAATAAGACGATATAGTGTGAGATGCTGATGGAACTTCCTCAACTTAGTGTTTTAGTCCCGCTTGTTAAAAAAAAATCGTTTATATTTATATTTTGACATTAGACAATACTTACCAACGCCTCAATCTTTCCCCTAGAACAATAATAAAGGAAAAAGAAACAATGAGTAAATACTGTATGTAGATTAAACTAAATTAAAAATCATTGTTAGAATGTTATATACACACACACACCATAAAAAGACGTAGTTAGTTTCAATGTAAAAATATATGAATGTATCTTTTAGTGGTTAATTTATGTATGGATCCATCACACAATACATGGTCATATATCTGTGCTTCAAAATCCATTATATATACACCTCAGTCCGTTCAACCACAACAGGAAGAATTATTATTTATTTGGCACACTCAGGGTTTAATGGGCCTTGTGGAGAAATATGTAAGGATGATGATAATAATAATAATAATAATAATAATAATAATAATAATAATAATAATAATACAGTAATAATAGATAATAACAATAATAATAACAATAATATTAATAATAACAATAATAATAATAATACAATAATAATAATAAAAATAATAATAATAATAAAAAAGTGATCATGCTCAGGAGGTCTAACTAAGGTAACCAAGAGGGAGGCTAATAAACTACATACTCAACCAATTATCAAATACCAACATCTGATGCATTAAACTACAATGTACACCCAAAACCAATCAACCAAATCACAACTCTTGGGAAACACAACCCATTGGAAATTTCTCCCAAGAGTATGTAGTTGACGAAAAAGGAAAAATTATTCTTAAAAAAAAAAAAAAAAAAAGGGTATTGTTCTTTTTCTATTAAGATTTGTTGTTTTTTCATTGTTAGTATTGGTCAGACTACTGTACTGTATGACATAACACGGCCGCAGCTTGTGCTTTTGCCGTCTTACCCTGCATTTTCCACCACCTCTCTTTTGCCTAAACCATTTTTCTTTTAGTATGTGGAATCGGCCCTCAGCTTGCTTAGTCAATATAGCGACGTCCAGTACCTCCTTGATGGTAGAACCTAGCACCAAGAAGATCACAAGATTAGTGAGATGAGAGTGAGTGGTGGTATCACAACAACAGCGGTGACGGTTGTGGTGGTGGCAGAGTTGTTGTGGGCTGTGGTCTTATAGTCTGACAGGTGGTAACACACAGCTTGTCCTTATAGATTATATGCTGGCTCTTCAACACCTGGTTAGTGAAAATGCTGGACACTTAAAGGGAAAAGGGAAACAACGGAGCACCTTAGCTTTCGTCTTTATTCAAGACATCTTCAGAGGCAACTAGATTACATCGACAGAGAGAGGCTTAAATATACAGGGTGACCTTATTCAACATGAGGTCAGGTACCCTTCTGTGTTTGTTGATCGTTGTTTCAAAAGGGCTAAAAAGTCCTTTCAGTCCTCTCAAACCAGGCAAATTCCTACACTTAAGAATATTTTGACTCTGCCCTATCGTAATGAATTTGTCCCGTTAGTTCGGTCCCTCAAGCTACTAAATATTAATGTTGTTTTCAAGTATGACTCAACCATTACCAATATGTTAATAAGGAATAGCCCAAGTTTGAATGTAAATGGAAGTGTTTATTGTATTCCATGTAGCAAATGTAATTGTAATTATGTAGAACAGACAGGAAAAACACTGCAGCTCAGAATCAAACAACATAAGTACAATATCAGAACAGCATCTGAAAGCAGTGCCCTGTTCGTTCATGTTAGGAATAATAATCATCCCATTGCTTGGGAAAAAAGCTTAGAAGTATTCAAATCATCTTGTGTCACAGAAAGACTTCTGGTTGAAGCTAGTTTGATTAAGGAATTAAAATCAATAAACATTAGTGATGGTCAGTTCAAAACTGATAATATGTTACATAAATTTATTTGTCAGTGGCCCAAGGTTAAAAATGCTTTGAAAACCTTTGATCTAGATGTAGGATAGTTATTTAGTGGGTCCCTTATTTTTGACCTGACCTGAGTAGTCACGTCGCCCCCTTCTCTTAAGCTCCTCTACGTGTGTGTTGGTGGTGTGGGGATTAGTGGATGACATCATTATGACCTGACCTCATGTTTAATAAGGTCACCCTATATATTTAAGCCTCTCTCTGTCCATGTAATCTAGTTGCCTCTGAAGATGTCTTGAATAAAGACGAAAGCTAAGGTGCTCCGTTGTTTCCCTTTTCCCGTGTGATTTTATCAAGATTTATCTTATCCACGTTTTCATTGTGGATCTACATGAAATATATATATATATATATATATATATATATATATATATATATATATATATATATATATATATATATATATATATATATATATATATATATATATATATATCATATGATATATGCTGATGTTGAGATTATCCATATATATATATATATATATATATATATATATATATATATATATATATATATATATATATATATATGTATATATATATATATATATATATATATATATATATATATATATATATATATATATATATATAAAGCTTCCTATTGTTAGTAAATGCCCAATGACAATATATCTCACATACTGGAAAGTCTTGTGGGGTGGGTTTTTTTTGGGGGGGGAGATCTCAATCAATCAGAGCTAACAATCCAAGCCAGGTACTACAGCAATCACATATTATGTAAAACTTCGAACGTCTAAGGAGCTTGGGACGCCAGAAACACTATACGGTTAACATAGAATTATTCATCCTTGTTTGGGCGGCATTAAACTAGTGATCTGACTCCAGTACTGTAGAAAGAGCAACTTATCCAAACTCGGGAGATCTGACACTTATCTTACACATGAATTATCGATGATATTCTGGGGATTTAGAAACACATTGTTACCAGTTATTATACAGTACCTCTCTTTTGGGGTAGAAAATATGGAGACTAAAACAGACTGAACAGATAGATGGGAAGCCAGCAAGCACTCAGAAGGAATACAGGATCATGCCAGTACTGTGCTTCTCTAGTCCTCGCAACAAAGGTGAAGAAGAACTGTTTAGAACTTTAGATATTTTCATTATATATGTTCTTCAATATGTGAGGCGATATCATCATAAGGGCATGGACTAACGAAGGCATTTTTCTTTAATAATATGGCTGAACGCAACAAGCAACCAGCATGGAAGTACTATGAGCACTCCATGAGTTAACCGACTTTTTTCATATATGTGTGTGTGTGTGTGTGCGTGTACAGTACAAACCAGAAATGATGATGATGATGCTTAGAAATTTAAACATGGGATCTTCAGCACATTCCAAATCAGCACGACTGAGTTAATTACAAATATTTTTTTCTGGCTTGTTCAGCGAAATACACATTGATTAACTTAACTATTACTAAAAAAAGGCCAATCTTACAAAAAGCTCAGACTATATGTATATTTTTTTTTAATGTTAGTTGCGGTTGTTAGTAGACTAGAGCAGAGACGTTTTATTTGTCTTCCCTTTAAGGTGGCGAGTGAGCTATTTACCTTACACTTGCCACCACCTCTCTTTTGTTTGAACCACTTTTCCTTAAGAGTGTAGAATATCCCTGCCTCCTGCAACGCCAATATTACCACATCTAGAGTCTCCTTATAAGATGAACCTGGGCGTCAAGAAACAGGAAAGCATTACTACCACATGGTTCTGCAGGAAGAGGAGGACTAGGACCGGACCACACTCAAAATGTCTTACTGTCTCTCCCTTCACATACTCTAAGGTTTTGTTATATAGGTGATTTACGATGAGACACAAAGATCTTGTAGATTTTTTGTCCTTCCATTTCTGGGGAATTAAGAATTACACACTCATAAAGCTTACTCAGAGGAAAGACACAAACGATCAAAGTTAAAATGGTCTTAGTATTGTACTGAAACACCCTGTAGTGGTCTTTAAGAGGTCAAACTGTTCTCGCCTCCTGTCCTTAAAGGTAGCTCATATTCTGCCAAACTGTGACTGGATACTTGACTTGACAGTTTGGGAAGTAGAGGCGGTCAAGTGTAGTGATAGCCAAATTGCCTTCATGTGTACCGAAGACTTTAGTCAAGTATCAAGCATCCGGGACTCACTTCACTCTCACACGTGAATTACAGGGGACTTTTTGTACCTTGTTTTCCAGTCACCTAAGTGGTTGATATGACACAAGAGAGGTGTAGTCCCGTATACATACTACTAAACGTCTCCTGTACACACACTGGCTTAATAACAATATCATGTACCTTTATAACTGGCACCTTAAGTAAGACAAAATAATTAAGAAAAATAATCTAAGTAGAAAAAATCAATACTAAGCAATCAAGTTTAGTAATTAACATTTTTGCATTACTGAAAGAATCTTGTGTGGTGGCTTTGTGTGTGTCTGTCTTGTATAAACAATCACTGTAGGTAAATTAAAAAGAAAATTAATGAAAATAATATCACAGTTGAGTGTGTAAGGGCTGGCTGATGTGGCGACGATGCATCTTGCCTTGCGACACAATCTGAAAATGGCTCACCTTCAGGAGAGCCAACATTACTTTGGCGGCTAATATTCTAACTATTTTAATATGATAATACTATTTTAAGAAATATATAATGAAAAACATAGTAAGAAAAAGATGAAACAGTACAATGGCAAGTTGGGCAAGCATCAGTTGGGTGTGTTTACCTTATCACTTAAACACTTTCCCGCCCCGCCCTTCTGGCTCCACCACTTGAGTTTCTGCACCTGGATGATGGAGGTCTCCTGCAGGGCCAGGATGGCACTGCTGATAGCGCTGGTGTAGGGGGAGCCTGTAAAGGTTAGTAAGCGTGCTGTTAGTGAGGTTAATACAGGCTGCTGGGTGGGGATGGGTATTAGTTGTTCTGAGGCGATATGACAAGTTAAAATGAAAGAAAAAATGGTTAGGTAAGTTAATACATTATATGGAGAAACTAAGCAGTAGGTTAAAATATTAAGTGACTAATTCAATGACTATATGAAGAAATAAAGCAACAGGTTAAAAAAAGAGATAATTAGTTAATAACATATACAGTACCTGTATATGGGAATTGGGTTGTATTATAATAACAAATAATAAAGTAGTTTGTTGGTATTGGATCAGACAGAAATAATTTAGTTAGAAAATTGATAATATTATGGACAGAAGTTAGTTAAGGATCTAATTAGCAGGCAGAAAAATCCTAAGGGAGAGTGAGGAGTAGAGCCAGCTGGAAACTCGGTCCCCTTTCATCACCAATCTCCAAGTTCCCTATATTGTACTCCTTCTAGATACACGATTTTCCCCCAATGATCTAAATCCTTACTCAACAGACTGCTTACTAAACATTCATTCATGCATTCCTCCCTCATAAAGAAGGTACCTACTGTACTCGAGTCTTCACTCACTCTCATCTCCACAAAGGATCTTCACAGAGAGGGTCGATGAATCTCAAAATAAACACTACGACTCCTGTTGTCCCGGTGGGGTTGTCAGAATCCTTCCTCCGTTGTGTCATATTGTCTCACATAATATTGTAAAGATACTTTTTAGAGCGAGTATACGCAATATAATAATAATGGTCGCCCCTCGTGTAACGAGGATGGCCGGCCCAAGGGCCACTGAGGCGTGAATTTGTTTAAGGTGTAGAAGCTGTCGCCAACAAAACAACCACACCTTGAGTTTACGAGTTGCATGACCCAGTGTCAAGGGATAGTCCGAGAAGACCGGACAACTCGCCAATTGCACTGGCTAACCATTACCCCGGAATACGATCCGCAAATCGATTAACATCCAGGTCCCCAATTACTGCTGGGTAGACAGAGGCAAATGGCGTAAAGAAACTTGCCCATAGTTTCACCCTGCCCGGGGATAGAACCCGGGCCCGATCGCAATATAACCTGGTTCTCAACACACACACTACGTGTTTGCTGTTCAACACCTCAGCTCACGTGACCTCCACTGTGAACATTAATTTGTATGTTCACTGTATGTTCCTTTTCCTTTCTCTAATGAAGGCCTTTGTTATCTCCCCTATGTCAATGTATGTAATAAGTCATTATGTATATTTTCAGCTTTTGGGCTGCAGAACTTTTTCAATAAACCGTTAATTATTATTGTTATTATTATTACATACACACACACATCAATTATACAGTCAATAACAATGATTTTACAATTCACTTTTTTTTCTGATCAAGTCTATACTTGCTTAGCATGCTTACATTGAATACCTGTATTCAGTATCACTTGCTAATTACAGTACGCATATCATGCTTTAGAATTGGATTTATCTACCACAAGTGAAACAAAAGTGATATTATGGTATTAACAATTCACCCTATCCACCACACAACTCTTCATAAGTCTTCAGTCTTGCCACACACGGTTCACAGGTCTCCAGGTTCAACATACATCTTACAGGTCTCCATTTGCACCATAGAACTCTAACAGGTCATATTCACCACGGGAGAGCTTGAGAAAGACTCGTCTGGGGATGGAACCGTTAGTGTGAAGTGAAGGACTAGGAACAGACTCACCAGAGGGGAGGGCGATGCCGTAGCTCTTGGAGTCGAGCAAGCCGCCCACCTGCGTTAGGTCACAGTTCCTCTCGATGACATACTCGATAGAGGTCGATTCCATCAGATAGGCGTACAGGCCGTTCATCTCCTGCGGGAAGACGACTTTATGAAGTGGGTTGGGGAGAGAGCAAAACGTTTGAGGGATCTTGTATATATTTAGAGTCTTCTGTAAGGCTTCTCAGTTCTACATGGTTAAGAACAGTATTCGAAATGTATTGTAAACACACATACTCGTACATACATACAGTAGTGGTGATGATATTGAGGATCAGGGCAGTGGTGACTGTATAGGGATAATAGTAGTAGTAGAATGGGTAATAGTAGTGGTGGCAGTATTAGTAGTGGTGGTAGTAATAGTGGTTGTAGCAGTAGTAGTAGTGGTAGTGGTGGTGGTAGTAGTAGTAGTAGTAGTCATAAAGATGATTACAACAAAAACAATGAGGGTGACTTACCTGAACTCTCTTAACACCTTCAGCGTTGCTCTTGACCAAGACGGAGGGACTGGTGGACTCCATGAAGGACCACATACGAGCGTAGGTGGGTAGGGTGGAGTCTCTTGAGGGACGGAAGAGGAATCATGTATCATCACTATTACTATGGACTGTATTGACACTCTTTATGTTTTGATTAAATAGATAAACAAACTCGCTCTGAAAAGTATCTTAAACGATTTGGTGTGAGACAGTATGACACAATGGACGAAGGATTTTGACAACCCTACCGAGACAACAGGAGTCACAGTGTTCATTTTGGAATTCATCGACCCTCTCCGTGAAGGTACCTGGTGGAGCGAGTGTTTACCTGTGTGTATATATATTTAATAACAATATTCACAATTATAGCAAGACAGTGAAACATAAATAATTAGGTAGTGTGAACATTAATGAGCTCACCTGGCCACCAGTGAACTCACCTGGCCATTAGTACACCCACCTGGCCATCAGTCAACTCACCTGACCATCAGTAAACCCACCTGGCTATTAGTACACCCACCTGGCCATTAGTACACCCACCTGGCCATCAGTGAACTCACCTGACCATCAGTAAACCCACCTGGCCATTAGTACACCCACCTGGCCATTAGTACACCCACCTGGACATCAGAGATCCACCTGACCACTCAGTAGGACCTACCTGAAGAAGGAGAGGGTGGTACCGGAGGCCAGGGAACCGTACTTGATCTTGGTCTGCTTGGCCAGATCCTCGGCCGACTCGATGGGGGACTCCATGCGCTCGACCGTGAGGAAGGCGGCCAAGTTAGCCGTGTAGGAGGAGATCATGATGAGAGTGAAGAACCACCACATACCTGCCACCATCCTTGTTGACACCGCCCTGATGAGAGAGAGAGAGAGAAAGAGAGAGTGTGAGGTAGGTGAGAGAGAGAGAGAGAGACACGACTAAAGGTGATATTGGGAGGACATAAACTTACATACTGTATACACTACCAGAAGGCGCGTACTCACTGGGGCAGGAAGTCACACCCCTGCTGCATAAGGGAGCCGATGGCGAACCAGAGGCAGTTGAGGATGGTGAATTGGTTCTCCAGGGTGTCAGGGTCTGGGTCACACGGGTGCGGGTTCTGCCACTCGTACGGCGTGAACCTGGAGGTGGTGGTGGTAATAATAATAATATTAATAATGAAATAATAATAATAATAATAATGAGAGAGAGAGACCTACCTATCTACCTATCGTAAACTCACCTGGCTAGAATATACATCAAGACAGAGACACCGACGTAGGCAGTAATCATATACATCCAGACTTCGAGGGAGAGTGGGGAGAGGAAGGAGAAGAGTGAGGGGGCCATCTTCTGCGGCTTCTTGTACAGGATCGAGATACCCATGTTCATGAAGGGCATTGTGAAGTCTACAGCTTGTTCTCGCTCGTAGTTGATGGTGAGGTCGGTGATAGCCATGTCTGCCCGCTGACCCCCCAAAAATAAAAACAAACAAATAAACACACAGGTAAGGATATTAATTACTGTTTGTGGGGATACCTGTGTAATTATATATTTTTTTGAATTGAGGTAAACAATATATTAACTCTTTTGAACATTAACAATATGTAATTATTTTTCAATATAGACAAACAGTATTACCTCTCCTGAACTTATATAAACAATTTATATTATCTTATTATCAATACAGATACACATTATATTACTCTTTAACACGGATAAACAATCTTTTCAACATCGACAAACATTACTATTGTCTTAAACATAGACACGAAATTATTTGACACTTAAATACAAAGTGATAGAAAGTTCCTGGTGCACCTGTAATAACTAACACTATAGTTATACCTTGTTATACACCTTGTTATACCTACCTTGTTATACCTACATTGTTATACATATTGCTCTACCAATTCCAGAAGTTCCTTGATCATACCTGTTCCAGCAGTTCCTTAATCATGCCGTTCCATTCCCCCGTGTCCTGGTTCCTCGTGCCGTAAGCGTTGCCGGGGACGGGGATGAGGGTGTAGTTGAACTTGAGGATGCTGGAGATCTCGTTGAGGAGGTCGATACAGAAGCCTTCGAAGCGGTCATTCCCAGACAGCTGTTCGGAGCTCTCTTTTAGCATGATGTACGGATCGTTCTGAGGAAGAGAAGTTTCCTTTTCTTGGTCAACACTTTCGAGTAACAAAGACAGTAACGTCACACAAACACAATAAACATAACAATTATTTGACGTGGTTACCAAAACAGAATAATAATACTAAAAAAAAAATTACACACAAACGAAAGAATTAAAACAATCAGAAGAATAACTCACGTATGCAAAGGAGACGATGAGTGTCTTGTTCTGAAGGCCGTCTACGATCTTCTTCTGGGTGTCCTGATAACTCCTGGTGTAGTTTGTCCCCGTCTTCCTGTTCCACGTCCCCACCTGCACCACACAGAGCCATTCTTAGTAACTCCCGTGTGGGGGGGGAGGGGTGGGTGTTTGAGGGAGGGGGTGTGAGTATGTTGGGGGGAGGGGGTGTGTGGTATGTTGGGGGAGGGTGTGTGGTATGTTGGGGGAGGGGGGTGGTATGTTGGGGAGGGGTGTGGTATGTTGGGGGGAGGGGGGGTGAGGGTGTGTTTGGGGGGTGGGAAGGATGTGTATGGAGGGTAGGGGTGTGTTTGGGGGGTGGGAAGGATGTGTATGGAGGGTAGGGGTGTGTTTGTGTATGGGGGGAGGGGTGTGTGTGGTGGGGAGTGGAGGGAAGGTGTGTGTATATGTGTGTGTGTGTGTGTGTGTGTGTGTGTGTGTGTGTAGTGTGTGTGTGTAGTGTGTGTGTGTGTGCCGGTATGCATGTGTAAAATGAGCACATGCAAATTATAAAGAACCCCCAAAAAATTACACGACACACACATACACACAAACTATTCACTACGAACTAACTACTGTACTATTTAACTACTGACTATCAACATAATCAAATTAGGTAACGAACGAACCAACAACATTCCCAAGATCACACAACGAGCTCTGTATCTCCTCGAACCACAAAATCACAGGTAAATCACCACCTACCAAGCAACTATCACTTTAAATAAAACTTTACTACTGTACCACTTGTCACGATTCTCGATAGTACAGTGAAGGGCATTACCCCCATCACAAGTAGGCCAGTAGAGTGTTGGTACTTTATCCACCAGTATGTCAACAACTATCTCCGTGGCAAAAAAAAAAAAAAAAAAAAAAATATTATCTCTTTTTTTCTGTTCAGCGATAAAAAAATGGACTCTAACAGTACTCTTCCTGATAACATTATTATCACTTGATATATCTTAATGTTTGTATCAGGGAGAGAAGGACTGTCTAGTGCCTATCTATAAAGACTTTGGGTTCACAGTCAAGCACTGGAGCTTATGGGTCATTTAATGATGGATTAACCCCTTGAGTACGATGATATAACCCCTTGAGTACGATGATATAACCCCTTGAGTACGATGATATAACCCCTTGAGTACGATGATATAACCCCTTGAGTACGATGATATAACCCCTTGAGTACGAGGATATAACCCCTTGAGTACGAGGATATAACCCCTTGAGTACGAGGATATAACCCCTTGAGTACGAGGATATAACCCCTTGAGTACGAGGATATAACCCCTTGAGTACGAGGATATAACCCCTTGAGTACGAGGATATAATCCCTTGAGTACGAGGATATAACCCCTTGAGTACGAGGATATAATCCCTTGAGTACGAGGATATAACCCCTTGAGTACGAGGATATAACCCCTTGAGTACGAGGATATAATCCCTTGAGTACGAGGATATAATCCCTTGAGTACGAGGATATAACCCCTTGAGTACGATGACAAAGGTGAGTTGGTGTTTCAGAAATGATGTGATGTTTCTTTTAGACTCATAAACATAGAACGAGAGCGAGGATGGCCGACCCAAGGGCCACCGAGGCGTGAATTTTGTTTAAGGTGTAAAAGCTGTCGCCAACACAACAGCCACACCCTAAGTTAACGAGCTGCATGACCCAGTGTTAAGGAATAGTCCGAGAAGACCGGACAACTCCCCAACTGCACTGGTTAACCATTACCCCGGAACACGATCGGCGAATCTGTTAACATCCAGGTTTCCAATTATTGCTGGACGCGCACACACACACACACACACACACCATACGAGTAAGTTCTGATCGCTACAAAAACAGCCCAGTCCCAAACATTATAAAAATTATCAACAACTCGTAATCAACCAGTGTATTCACTCCCAGTCAATCTTACCTTTTTGCACTGTTACTATGTCTAAATGCCCTGTTGTATGACCTTCTCCCCACCTAGTTATTATATATCATATTTGTATCACTTATGTTACTTGTATATTACTTGTTAATCAAGTGATCCATTCCTCAATTATGTAACTGTATAGTTTCAGCCTTCTGGGTTGTCATATTCTCTTAATAAACTGTTAATTATTATTACACACACACACACACACACACACACACACACACACACACACACACACACACCTCGTTATCGCTTGGGGGAAGATAAGTGTATCTCCTACCGTATCTGACTGAAGATCTATTTCACTAACCTTCCATAGCAAGTGAAAATAACTCTCAGGCTCCTCGTAAGACAACAAGACGTCATGGCGTTCGCTAATAGAAGTCGAGCCTTATGGAGGGTTTTTATTGGGTGGTTCTCACTCATTACAATAGAACCAATGTTGTTTCTGAGGAATGTGTCAGCCGCTATAGAGAGTGTCGTGGGCAACACCCTGAAGATTGAGAGGTTTTGTCGTATACGTTGTAATGGACTCCCGGACGACTGCAGCCATCTGACTGACGGACACCATAAGGATCTTCAAATACAGGTGCAGCAGTACACTAACCTCTACCTGTTATACGAAAAATTTTTCTCGATGGCAGTACCCATGTTGCTCATCGGAACAATCGCCTCGTGGAGTGATCAGCGAGGGAGGCGAGTACCACTTGTTCTAACGCAAACTGGGATGGCTCTCAGTACCGTTGTTTACTTACTGGAGGCGCTCTTCCCTTCGTGGCCTCCTGAAGTTCTCCTCGGGGCAGCCTTCCTGGAGGGCATGGGAGGAGGGCTGGTGATGTTCTACATGGCCGTCTACAGCTACATGGCCGACGTCACCAGCAGCAAGGCGAGGACTTTACGGATGATTGTCGTCACCGTGTTCTGGGAACTTGGCACTCCTGTTGGCACAGCTCTTGGTGCCGTGCTTTACAACATTGGCGGTTTCGTGTTAGTGTTTGGCGTGAGTTTGCTTATATCAGTTGTCTGCATTATTTATGCTGCTGTGAAAGTCAAAGACAAAATCCCCGAACAGGAAGACAGGAATGGTCCGTCAACTCGGCGAAGGAAACCCTATGACCCGAGGAACATTATAGACGTTGGTGTTGTGTGTTTCAAAAAGCGACCAAGACGTGGCCGAGCACACATCCTCGTGATGATCACGGTCATGTCGTTCCTCATGAGCGACAACTCGCACAACGAATATCTGTGGGTCCGCAGAGTACTGCTCTGGAACCAAGATCAATATAGTCTTTATTTAACCGTCAGTAAAGTGGTGAAGCAAGCTCTCCTTATGGTCGCCATTGTACTCCTGCTTCAGTTGGGTGTTGAGGACTGCCTGGTAGGTGCCACTGCTGAGGTACTCTGTGTCACCAGACTTATAGCCTTGGGCTGGACGACTAAACCGAGTGAGTGGTGGGTCCTTTTACTGGTCCCTCTTGATGTGCACAACATGGCGAAAGTGAGCGCCAGGAGCGTCCTCTCAAAGGTGAGCCGTAACCGTATCAACATCATCATCATCAACATCATCATCATCATCATCATCATCATCATCATCATCATCATCATCATCATCATCATCATCCTCATCATCATGTCTGAGGGTTGGTGACCATGGTCCTCCACCACTCCATTTCTCGACCTGTTTTTTATCAATTACACTCAATTTAGTATCTCTCTAGGGCCTCTACTTTCAATCATCAATATACAGTCTCTACCTTCCCTACCCTAAACTTCTAACTTTTAACATACCGATTCTCTACTATTAGACAACGCTGCTATTTTCACCATACGGTCATAATACCTTGGGTCACTATTTTCACCATATGCTTAAATATTCTTATGTAATAATCATGTAGTATTTCTGGGTAACCTGAATATTAGAGCCGCAGCCATTCTACAGTAATGTGTGTGTGTGTGTGTGTGTGTGTGTGTGTGTACATGTACGTGTGATTATATTTGTGTACAACACGTAGAGTGGTGTCCAAGGGCCTATAACTCTTGTGTAGTAACAGCTGTAAACTCCCCCACCTACACCTATAACGAGAATCTAGGTGATATAGGACGATAGGCATGATAAATATACCTAAACTCTTATCTAAGTTCAGGTTATCATGAAATAGAAAGATTCAGGTTTTTATATATACTGTAAACGTACACACACACACACACACACACACACACACACACACACACACAGGCACACACACACATGCACACATATAAACACATACATGAATTCTCCCTCAATGATCTCACTCACCCAAACACCTCACTACTTTATCTCACTCACCCAAACACTTCATGAGTAGTAAGTGAATTATTTAGCTTTAGGTCAGTGATTCATTTAAGCTAAGTGAATTATTTAGCTTTAGGTCAGTGATTCATTTAAGCTCAGTGAATCATTTAGCTTTAGGTCAGTGATTCATTTAAGCTCAGTGAATCATTTAGCTTTAGGTCAGTGATTCATTTAAGCTCAGTGAATCATTTAGCTTTAGGTCAGTGATTCATTTAGGCTCAGTGAATCATTTAGCTTTAGGTCAGTGATTCATTTAGGCTCAGTGAATCATTTAGCTTTAGGTCAGTGATTTATTTAAACCCTCTCAGCTGTGTCGACCAGACGAGGTGGGTCGTGTTTTTTCCGTCATGGGCATCGGGGAGATGTTATGGTCGTTTTTCGACAGGTTCCTCTTCACCGCCGTCTACAGCACCACCCTCGCCTTCTACCCCTCCTACGAGCACCTGGTGGCTGCCGTGTTCGCCTTCCTCGCCCTGGTTGGGTTCCTGGGCGTGTCTTATTCAATGGCGGCTACTGGTCAATGCTTGTATTTACCCCGGGATGAAAGGCCTAACGAGGTGATGGAGAATGACATCGAGGAGAACAACGAGAGAGAAATAAAATGAAACTGAGGACAGGAACACAAACAAACACGGCCATCCAGTGAGGTCACAAGAATGTTTACAAGACCAGCTCCCACAGTACCAGATCTGTAGTTAATCTATATGTTGACTATGTTTCGTATGTGTTTGTATTGAAAGCTTTTGTCAGTCAAGTGACCCACTCCCCGATTTCATCATATGTAACTTATCACCTCTGTTCATTGTATATTTTCAGCCTTCGGGCTGTCATGTTATCTTAATAAACCGTTATTTATTATTATTACACACACACACACACACACACACACACACACACACACACACACACACACACACACACACACACACAATAATATTCCACAACAAGGTCACATTGGGACATTACACGAGATAAGTTTATCAGTAAGAGCTCTGTATTTGACGAAGCTCTAAGTACATGTACTAGTAATCTGATATATATATATATATATATATATATATATATATATATATATATATATATATATATATATATATATATATATATATATATATATATATTGTTTATTAAGTGGTTTTTACAGACAGTCTACTCCGGGCACAGGTCACTGACCACATCAGAGCCTATGGGGCGAAAATATAATAATAATAATAATAATAATAATAATAACAATAATAATAATAATAATAATAATAATAATAATAATAATAATAATAATAATAATAATAATAATAATAATAATAATAATAATAATAATGATAATAATTATAATAATAATAATAATAATAATAATAATAATAATAATAATAATAATAATAATAATAATAATAATAATAATAATAATAATAACTATTATTATAATAATAATAACTATTATTATAATAATAATAACTATTATTATAATAATAATAACTATTATTATTATTATAATAATGCAAACATTAATAACAAAATACTAAAAAATAATAGTAATAACCATAAATAAATAAAAAAGCGAAACAAATATATCAAGTGTGAGAAACGATATACATTATGTATGTTGTGTTGTCAAAGTAAGAGAAACAATTGAGACCCTGCAATTGTGTGTAAATGAGGCAGAAAGTCAGATCACCAACCTGGGACTTGGTCACAATTTTCATGATGCCATGTGGCAGCAGGGTCTACCATTAGACAACACATTATGCTTCCAATATCTTCCCAGGCGGTAGTACCTCCCTGTTTGATAGCTGCCTACTACCTATATAGTGCAGGTTACGACTTAATTATTCTCTTTACCTCATCCCATCCCCTACCCTACCCTACCCTACCCTACCCTACCCTACCCTACCCTACCCTACCCTACCCTACCCTACCTCCTGTAATTATCACAATCAGTCAATCCTCACCTGCCCCACAACTTACCTACATTTACTTAATAACAAAATTTTTTATTTTTTATTCACTTTTATCTACAGATTTACCATGGATCAATGTGTGTGCCTTTTATTATATCATGTACGATATACCTGAAGTGTTTTTATACAGTAAACGCTAAAATAAATGTAAATTTTAATGGTGATTTTTACAAAATAAATATTTGTCAATCATAATCCAATTTTTACCTTCCACTTGTTTATCAATATGGTTATCAATGGTTGGGCCAAGGCTTGGGGCTGGCTGTCAGTTAGGCTGGTTGCCAAGAAGTTAGAAGGTTGGGTTGTTGCTGGGCGGTTGTTAGGCTGGGGTTGAGTTAATGGGTTGGGTTGGGCTGGGTTGAAGTTGGGCTGGGTTGAAGAAGCTGGTTGGTTGAGTTGGGCTGAGTTGGGTTGCTGCTGGGCTGTTGGGTTGCTGGGTTGCTGTTGCTGCTGGGTTGAGTTGCCAGGTTAGGTTGGTTAGGCTGGGTCGGAGCCACGGTTGGGCTGCTGGCAGGGTCAACGTCAACGTCAACGAGTCAAGTCAATCTCATCAACGACAATGAGTCAACGTCAACTGGTCAACGATCATCATCAACAACTGGGTCAATCATCATCAGTCATCATCAACAATAACAACAACACCAACAAGTCAAGGTCAATAAACAACAAGAACAATGGTCAACAAGTGGGTTGGGCTGGGTTGCAATAGGCTGGCCAATGGGGCTGGGTCATGGGCTCAATAGGGTTGGGCTGGTTGGGTTGGGTTGGGGTTGGGGTTGGGTTAAATAACACAAGTTACGGTTGGGGTTGAGTTGGCTGCTGTTGTCAAGCTAATGTTTGCTGCTGAGCTACACAGTTTAACAATACTGCTAAATGGTTGGGTTGTTGTTGGGTTGCTGAGTTGGGTTGGGTTGGGCTTGTATTGCTGGGTTGCTGATGCTAAGCTAATAGTTGTTTAAGTTTGGGTTGGGCTGGCCATAGGCTAAGTAGGGTAGGTTAGGTTTGGCAGCTTGCTTATAGGACTCAGTAGCTATACCTCTCGCTGCCAGACCAATGAACAGACGGTATATTATCAAACTTCAGGTGTGAAATAATCACTACAGGTAAACATAAACAAAACCAAACTCCACATTATGAAAAAAAAATCAATAAAGTTTTAAATAACAAATACGACTTAATTATCACACACACATACAAAAACAACAACAACTACATGAAAACAACTTCTAACTACCTTGTAAACAATGATTAACTATACCATCTAAATAACAACTAAACACCTAACTACTACAAAAGCTCCATCACTACACCTCATTAACTACCACGGACTAACTATCACATAGGGAAAAAAAGTTGGTAAAAGTTGCAGAAAAATATAAGAGGGAATCTTACTTTCACCACTTCATTTTCCTAGCAGCAAATACACACAGATAATTAGTACAGATTAGTGGGTTTATTGTGCATAATTGTTTATATATACACACTGAAACATATATAAATTGCATTCCATTCATTATATATTCAACATGAAGGTAGTAGCAGTTAGTAGTAGTAGTAGCAGCAGTAGTAGTATCACTCTGATGTGTGGACTGTCGTCCTCAGGGGGTTAGCCTACACACCCACGCGCGCACGTATGCCCCTACTACCAGGACACAGAAGTCCAGCCACCTCTCCGCCCTTTCCTCATAAGAACTAGTTTCTTCTTCTGAATGGGACCAAAGTAGATGTCGGAGGCGGACGTAACTGTCGCCCAAAGTGCGGAACACTGTGCCGGGTAACAGACATTGTTGCGTCTGTGCTAGACAGAACCAAAATTGCACTACCTGTGATTGTGAGAGAAACAACCGACCATGTGTGGTTTGCAGAAAGGGAAACAATTGTCGGAACCCACATGGCAGGGAGCCGACACAGGAGGCCACAGTGGATATCGCCAGGACCCAACCGCCCGATGATGTCCTAAATGATAGCAGTGAGTCCACTAAACCTGAAAATGTAGTCCCAATAAACGCTGCTCCAATAGTAGCAGATGTCCACGAGGTGAATGGAAGACAGCCACCTCAGTGGAATGGCTTGTCGATGGAAAATGCGGACATATGGGTTAAAGAAACTAACTCAGAAATTGTCAGGTGGTCGCCAGTTAACCTGTTTGAACCACCCAAGTGTGCGGCCACCAAAGAAATGAATCGGGAGATGATTAGTCTCATAACCGAGTTAACTCAGGACCGCTTCCTTGCCACCTTTAGCTCTTCAAATACTGGCAATAATACCACATCTATTCTGTCAGAGAACACACACAAGGATTAAGCACAAAGAAAATGCGGCAGCAAGGAAGAGAAGATTGACAATGTGGCAGAATGAGGCCCTTGATGATCTCCTTTGTAAAGCAAGAACACTGGAGGAGAGACTAAAATTTATAGGAGACGGAAAGCAAAACACCGATGACGTTGCAAGAAAGTTTGGAAACAAAGTGTCTTTGGCGGTAAGATCTCTCACAGAGGAATCCTCCGGTGGTGTTCTGCCAATAATCAGAGACATTAAAACAAGTGAAGGAAAAACATCCCACTGCAAGTGAAGAGGACGGTATTAGGTTCCAGGGTGACTATATCCCACCAAATGCTGTCCTGTTCGAGAAAATAACAGGAGGGATGGTGTGGAAAAAGGCACTGAAAACTTAGGGAGGGGCTGGCCCTTCAGGCCTGGATGCAAACGGTTGGAGAGTCAGCCTCAGCACTAACAAGTTTGGCCCCGTAGCAAGTGATCTCTGCACTGCCATTGCCGCCCTTGCAAGAAGCTAGCAACCTCGTGCTGCCAACACCTCCATGCTCTGACGGCCTGCCGCCTCATTCCCCTGGATAAGAATCCAGGATGTAGCCCTATAGGGGTGGGGAAAGTTCTGAGGCGGATCAACAGGAAATGCATAATGGAGGTGGTAAAGGTTGATGTCAGGGCAGCGGCAGGTAACCTGCAAGTTTCTGCCGGCCACCAGGCTGGAGGGGAAGCTGCCATTCACGCCATGAGAACGATATTTGGGCAGCGTGATTGTGAGGCCGTTCTCCTGGTTGACGCTTCCAACGCATTCAACATACTTAACCGCAAGGCCGCACTGCACAACATCAAGATCAAGTGTCCAAGCTTTACAAAGTATGTTGAAAACACCTATAGGAATCCATCAGACCTCTATATAGTAAACATCAAGGCTCTAAGAGGTGATATCATCATACAGTCAACTGAGGGAACAACGCAGGGGTACCCTGTTACAATGGCAATGTACGCAATAGGCCTATCCGTGCTCCAACACACAATAAAATTTGAAACAACCGAGGTCAAGCAAGTGGCGTATGCTGACGACCTTACAGGAGCAGGAAAAGTGGAGGACATCAAAAAGTGGTGGGACCTGATAACATCATATGGTCCACAAATAGGGTACCACCCAAATGCCAGCAAGTCCTTCCTCATTGTGAAGCCAGAACATTATGAACGGGCAATGGAGGTGTTCGGTGGAAGTGAGGTAAAAATAACAGAGGATGGCCAAAGACACCTAGGCGCAGTAATTGGCACGATGAACTTAAAGACCGAGTAAGTAACGGGAAAGGTGAATGAGTGGGTTAGGGAAATCCAAGCTCTGTCTGATATTGCTAACAGAGCCACATGCGGCTTTTGCGGCATTCACCCATGGAGTCAAGCTTCACTGGAACTACCTGATGCGCACTATCCCTGATATCGGACCCCTCCTCCACCCTCTGCAAGAAGCTATCAGCGTCAATTCCATTCCTAAATTAGTGAAACATCTTCACTTAACCCCAGCAGAAAGATCACTCCTTGCACTACCACCGAGGCTGGGAGGAATGGGATTGACCAATCCAGAGGAGATTGCTGCCACTTGAACATCAAAACTCAGTTAAGCTCACGGCAGCCCTCACTGACCACATAATAGCTCAGAACGCAACAGGTGAGGTGGATACCAGCGAAGTAAACAAGATTCGAAGGTCCATTACGACAGAATGACAGCACGGCCAAAGTGATAAGTTGCAGCAACTGTTGTTCCAAGTACGAGAGAATTTGAAAAAAAGTAGCTATAGCACAGGAGGTGGGCGCCTCGAACTGGTTAACACGTTACCGATAAGGGCAAATGGTTTCAGTCTCAATAAACAAGAATTTACAGATGCCATTGCCAGTAGGTTTGCTCTCCCAATGCGTGTGTGGCTCTTCGTATGACGTCGATCACGCCATGGTGTGCAAGAAAGGGGGCTTCATATGCATGAGGCATGACGAAGTAAGGGATCTCATTGCAAATATGTTGAAGGAGATCTGTCGTGATGTCAGGGTAGAACCGACCCTCCTTCTATTGGACGGTGAGAATTTCCAACATAGGACTTCAAACACATCCAATGCAGCCCGTGCTGACGTCAGTGCTCGAGGATTCTGGAAGCGGGGACAGCGAGCCTTCTTCGACATCAGAATTTTGATTCCATGGCCGCATGTCACAGTAACTTAGCTCTCGATGCTGCACACAGGAGGAATGAGAACGACAAGATGAGGGCATACGGGAAGAGAATTCAGAACGTTGATCAAGGCAGCTTCACTCCTCTGGTGTTCACAACCTCTGGTGAGATGGGACCAAGTGCAAGATGCTTCTACGCCAGACTCGCGGAGGTGCTATCCGAACAGAAGCAGCAGCCCAGAAGTTATGTTACAGCCTGGATAAGATATCGACTGTCCTTCTCTCTCCTTAGGTCGGCTTTGCTCTGCCTCAGGGGAACGAGAGCATCGGCCCCAAAGCCGACAACAGTTGCAGATATTGGATTTGAGGCAACAGTCACTGAATGCCGCATAGATCTGCGGCTCAACTAACTCAACATAGCTAGGGTAGCTACTTATGTATTAGGATATTTAATTTTAAGGTAATAAAATGGCGGCGAAGGTGTGGCTATTGGGGGAAGGATGGAGGCCACGATATTAAAAAAATAAAAATAATATAAATAGTAGTAGTAGTAGTTGTAGGAGACAAAAAAAGTTAGTTGTAGTAGTAGTAGTAGGCAGGTGGACAGGCAGATAGAGAGAGATACAGGCATATAGACAGATAGATCAACAGACGGAGAAGTAGATAGGAAGAGAGATAGAAAGTGCCCCCCCTCCCCTCCCCCCCAATCCTCCCCCAACCCCCCTCCCTCCCCCCAACCCCCTCCCTCCCCCACCCCCATCCCTCCCCCACCCTCCCCCTCACCTTAGTCAAGTTCTTCATGCCCAGCTCCACTATATCAAGGTTGAAGTCCGTCCTGAACCCCAATGCATCGAACTCTATGGGACCAGTGAGTCCTGGCATCTTGACCTGTGAGGAAGAGACGTATGGGAGATTAATGACACAGAAACACACAGACACAGACACAGAAATACAGACACAGAAACAGACACATATATACAGACACAGAAACACACAGACACAGACACAGAAATACAGACACAGAAACACACAGACACATAAATACAGACACAGAAACACACAGACACAGAAACACACAGACACATAAATACAGACACAGAAACACACAGACACAGACACAGAAATACAGACACAGAAACACACAGATACATAAATACAGACACAGAAACACACAGACACAGAAACACACAGACACATAAATACAGACACAGAAACACACAGACACAGAAACACACAGACACATAAATACATACACAGAAACACACAACACAGAAATACACAGACAAATGGGTTAATAGATCATACAGATAAGGGGGAAATGCACAGATATGGGGGGGGGGTTACAGACAGGCACAGACAGACACAGAAAGGGGAATTTGCACAGGCATATAATTACATAGACACAGAAAAGCCCCACAGACACATGGCAAACAGACAGACGCACAAACACAGATGAAGAGAGGCGCCCAGACAGACAGACAGACAGACAGACATACTAGTTATCTGCTTAAGAAAATGGAATAATTAATAGTTTCTTTCAATTCTAGAGACGTGAATCATCTCAATCAAGAAAATGTAAATTATAATGGCACACACACACATTTTATCTCTTCTTCTCTCTCTCTTATTCCTCAGTTTCTCCTCTTTACTGTTTTTCTCTCCCTCCCTAACCCCTTCTCTGTACTCTCCATCCTTCATCCTTTCACTCTCCTCCTCCCATCCTTAACACCCCCTTCCCCATCTCTCACCCAAGCCACCATCTTCCCCATCCCTTACCCTCTCCCTCAACCTCCCCATCCCTCACACCCTCACCCCTATCTCTCACCTTACCTCTCCTCCCCACCCCCCCCTCCTCCTACCCTCACTCTCTCCCTAACTTACCAGCTTCATGTAATTGATGAGAGAGTTACCGTGTACCCAAGCGTCCTCATCCTCACACACCAGGGAGGTCATCTGCACGTCCGTCGAGTTGTCCAACGCCTGTATGGCCAGAACGAAGAGCTTCACGGCGTCGTACATCAACGCTGTCTCCGTCTGCAGCGTGGAAAGGGTCGTTAGACGGAGTTAAATTGACGTACGATCATAAACGATGTGAAAAATGTAGGGAAAATGGGGAAATATTCGGTGATATTAGGGGGAATATGGGGTAAAATTCAGTAGTATTGGGGAAATATTCGGTGATATTAGGGAAAAAGGGGAATAAAATTATTTAATAGTGGGGAAAATGGGAAAATTCGGTAAAATAGGGGAAAGTAGAACATAGGGGAATTAAAAAAAATACACCTGGTTAAAATAGTTGTAAACTGGGGAAAAATCCTAAAAAAAGGGGAAATATTGAGGAAAATCGCAGAAATTAGGGCAAAAAGGACATACCGTCAATAAGAAAATAAGTTAAAATATGGAAAAAAAAATCAAATTATGTATAAATTGTTATAACAGTAGAACACAGGAAAAAATGGGGAAAATAGGGTCAATATATTCGATTACTGAACAACCAATTACATCTAAGACACGAAGCGAGTGGTTACAGATCAAAAATTGGTATTAAAATAATTAATAGGGGAAAAATAGGCAAGAGTAAATAGCTGAACAAAATTAATAGGGCAAAATAAAAGTGAACAGTTGCAATAATAATAATAATAATAATAATAATAATAATAATAATAATAATAATAATAATAATAAACCAAGCAATATAAAATAGGGAAAATATATATTACATAAAAATAATATCAATCCTATTAGGAGGGACATAATATAGTAGAACCTATTTTAATATATAATACAGGGTACAAATAAATGGGAAACAATTCTACTACTTCACTTGTAATAGGGGAATAAATCGCTTGGTTTATTTACATACTGGGTGATATAGTAAACAATAGCAATTTTACTAGTTAATAGGGAGGTATGGTGGCAACGGCTTAAATATAGGAGGTTATGATAGAAAAAGCTTAAATACAGGGACACCAATAAGGGAATGATAGAAGAAGCTTAATTACAGGGAAAATAAGGGAACATGATAGAAGAAGCTTGATTACAGGAACAATAGAGTACCATATGATAGAAAAAGCTTAACTGCAATAACATACGGTTGAAAGAAAGCTTAATTACACCAACAATAGAGGGACGTATGATCAAAAAGCTTAAATACAGGAAAAATAGTGAAACATATGATAGAAAAAGTTTGAATACAGGAAAAATAGTAAAACATGATAGAAAAAGCTTAAATATTGTAAAAAATAGGTTACATACTAAAACAAAAGCTTAATTATAGGAACAATAGAGGTCCATATGATAACAAAAGCTTAATACTATAATACCGCATCGAAAAAAATTACTTTACTGAAAAATAGAAAAAAAATACATAAAACGCTTAAGAATTAGATACCAATTATTATTATATATAAGTAAGATTAGGTCAACAGCTGTTAAATATTTGCTAAAGATTTAATTCAACACACCACAGACAGACAGACAGGCACGTGCATCACAGGAAAAAAATACTCTTCTGCATATACACCCACCTGAAGTAAAAGGGATTAATTCATTTGTGTATGTGTGAGTGTATGGTGTATGGCTCTTAATGTATGATTTTAAACAGCAAAATACTGTACGGGGTGTAGTATACAGTGCCTTTGAAGAACCTTTTGTATGATTTCTGGGGAAGATTTAAGAGTGTATGATTTTTTAGGGAAGATTTTAAGACAGTATGATTTCTTAGGGGAGAAATTTTAGACAGTGTAGAATTACAGGGAAACTTACTGTATAATTTGGGGAACTTTATCTAGTCAAGGTATGAATTTGGGGAAATTTAAATACAATCTAGGGGAAAATTAAACCAATGTAGTGGATGATTTAGGAGAAAAAAAAAACTTTACCCGTATATTGTTAGAATGATTTACGGGAAACCTCAACCAACATATGATTTAACCACTAGAGTCGGAAACGTATACATAAAATTGGTTAAATAAAATGTTAATTAAAATTGACATACGAGTATAACTGATATACCATGGGATTAAAAAAAAATCTATATATACTTTTTCGTTTTGCTTTTTTTTATGGAAATTGAATATAGATGGACATGCAACGTTCAATTTCCCCTCCCCTTAACAAAAATAAAATAAATAAAATAAAATACAAATATAAAATATTCACTGATGTGTTATCCTAACCCTTGAAGGAAATAATAATAATAATAATAATAATAATAATAATAATAATAATAATAATAATAATAATAATAATAAACCAAAATCATAACTATTTTCCCTTTTCCCCCAAACTCAAACAGTATTTTGACTCAAAGTTGTAAATTACACCTTTTTTTCTCCCTAGATGCAGTATGTTTAGTTTTCGCCGAGAAGGTGAAGTAAATTATTAGCAAGCATTTATATACCAATGTTAAGCACCAACATTTGTCACACACGTCAAAATAATGACGGGGGGGGTGTACCAGTGTTCTATGTTAATTCTGAGACAGCGGCAGAGTGTATAAATGGTCACATGTAAACAAGGGTGATAGAAGGCAGCACCAGTGTGTGTGTGTTGCCTGCCCCCCTCCCTCCCTTTTTCTCTCACTCCATCCCTCCCTCGTTATGTAGGAGTTTACATCAGCGCTGTATATATAATAAAACCTTCACACACACACAAAAACCCCCGCAGAAAAACAACCAACTAGAGACATTAAGAACGTTCCATCTCATAATATTTTAACCATTGAGCGACTAACGTAATTACTAACTTTATTACACGCTTAATAACCCTATAACACCAACGGGCAGGACGGACTCACCACCAACAGACTCCAAATTTCTTAATTAAAAAAAAGGGTAATATGAGGCGACCTTTACCGTGTTAATGAGGATATTAAACGTGTACTAAACTTGAGGAAAATATTTAATACGACTGTGGTACTATTTTCACAGTATTATTATTTTTGTTTTACGTTTGTCGAATGTTTATATCTTAGTTTCGTGCGAGAGATTTATAATCCTATGAGGCTACGACACTTTCAGGACCTGTGTATGTGTCGTACAGCGCTGGACTTGTTTTAGAGAACACACACACACACACACACACACACACGAGAGTTGAGAGGTGTAGGTGAGTTATAAACCAATTGATAATCCGGGCTTTTGTGTGTGCCCTCGCTTTTAAGTAGAGGCTCATTTGGTATATACGTGTAGACTCTTATTTCAGGACAGGATCTATTTAACGATACGAGAACTCACTGATTTTAACTCTGCATCGTAAGTTAAGGAGGCAGTTAAGTTATATACGTGTTATGTATACAATTAAGGAAGGAGTTATATACGTGTTGTTATGTATACAGTTAAGGAGACAGTTAAGTTACGCGTAGTTACATGTCTACAGTTAAGTGAGACCCAGTTATACCTGTCATAATAAACAAAGGTAAAAAATATAAAGTATAGGGTTCTTTCAGCAAGCGGGTTTATAGAGGCGGTTGGTTTATATATCACACACGACCAGGGGACTCTGGGTACCCAAGAGGCGCGCCAAAACCCCAAACAGATATATTACAAGTCTTATATACACTTATACTACCTCCCCCACCTTATCTCTCGCTATCCAGCCCTGTTTACCCCCCCCGTGATGCCATTTGTCAGTTGTGTGGTTTAATAGCAGTTGTTTAATAGGTTTATTTTCACGAGTAACACCACCAGTTAAGTGAACCGGTGGAGGAGGCGGGGATAGCGAAGAGGCTACCATTTTTACCTGCCTAAGCGCTTGTGTTTACAATATGTTCAGGCTACGACACCCCATGCCTATTTATTATATTCTTATTTTCCTCCATTTATATGCTTCATCATCTTATTCCCACATTTCTCCCCGTATGCAAATCTCTCCTAATATATTAAACAAGAATAATTTTCATAATATAATTTTCACAATATTATTAAGAGACTTTCCACCCCCCTTCCTCCTCTCCTCATGACTCGTATTTTAACACATCAGCTGTTTTGTCCCCAACACCTCAATTCCCGCACACCATCCACGTTTGGGTAATAAAGTAGCGTTAACTATCACTTACTATCACTTAACGACACAGCAGGGAGAGAATTTATATCCCTTGGTTCTTAGTGCCAACATATGTATACATTATATTAGCGATTTTTAAGTCCGGGTGATCAAGTGAATTTTTAAGTGTTTGTTTACAGTTCACGTTATTGAAACACGCCGCTGTAACCTTAAAATCGCAGAAGGACCTTGGTTTATCATAGTTCCCATTAGTATTTCCGGTATGTTAGAAGAAAAAAAAAATCTTATTTACCAACATTTCAGTTTCAACGATTCAGCCAGACCTCAGTAGTGCCTGTAAATGCCCCCCAGAGCACCCGCACTTACACACTAACAACAATAACTATCCCTTTAAACACGACAACCACCATTACAATTTCTTTCGAACGTATCACTGAATACTGATGATAAAAAATAATGATAATAAAATAAAGACAATAATACAGTAATAATAATAATAACAACAATAATAATAACAGCAATAACTAAACAATAATAATAATAATAAAATAATAAAATAATAATAATAATAATCTCACATAACATCTCTCCTAGACATCCCGCTGTTGCATTTTTGAGTCAAGTAGTTTTTTGTGTGTCCATTCACTCTAAACTTTGATGAACTGGACGACGGCCGGGAGAAGAAAGTTTAGTGAGGAAATGGCTGGGTGAGTCAGTTAGAGTGGGGTGGGGGTTGAGGCAGTTAGTTACAGTCAGTTAAGGGGTCACTCAAGGAGGTAGTTAGTGAGAGATAGTCAGTCAGTTAGGGAGGGTACTCGGGCAGTCAGAGAGCCAGTTAGTTTTAGATTTTGGGAGTTGAAGGTCAGTTAGCCAGAGAGAGACAGTTAGTTAAGACTGTCAGTTAATCTTTTACTTACTCAATTAACCAGCCTCTCTCTCTCTCTCTCTCTCTCTCTCTCTCTCTCTCTCTCTCTCTCTGTCTGTTTATTTTATATTCCAGTGTCTCTCTCCTTCTATCTCTCTCTCTA